GTACATTTTTTATGCAGGTCCCTAGGAGAAGCATCTCCCAGCATGACTGCATTTGCGAGAGGCCAAGCAACAGCATACAAAATGTTTGAGACTATCACTAGAAAACCAGAAATTGACCCTTTCGATACAAATGGAAAAATTCTAGATGATTTTCATGGAGAAATAGAGTTTAGTGATGTTTATTTCAACTACCCAACAAGACGTAATGAGCAAATTTTTAGCGGATTTTGTCTTAACATCTCAAGTGGTATAACCACTGCTTTGGTTGGACAAAGCGGGAGTGGTAAAACAACCGTGATCAATCTTATAGAAAGATTTTATGATCCACAAGATGGATGTGTCTTAATAGATGGAGTCAATATTAAAATTTCAACTAAGATGGATTAGGCAAAAGATTTGATTGGTAAGTCAAGAGCTTGTCTTGTTTGGTTCGTCGATTTCTGAATCTTACTAGCTATAACTTGAAAATAAACATTCATTTCGACTAATATGTTAGGTTCACACTCTAAATTACTCAAGGATACAGAGGGAGCCTAATCTCAACTTATACGTTTACAAGGAATAAGAAGTGATTGTTTCGAACTAGCTAAAGACGCTAATGAATCATGGGGCCAATCTAGTCAAGATATAATGCCATTAAGCAATAGCTCCTTGGGGAGGAATAGCAATGCTCGTAACTCATTCTCAGCCATGACCGAACAACAAACATTAGACCCGGTTGAGCAAGTAGAAACTCGTGCTTCGCCACTACTTGCAGCAAAAGAATCAGATGTTTCCATTAAGCGTCTTGCCTCTCTTAACAAACCTGAAATCCCAATCCTTTTGCTTGAATGTTTATCTGCAATTGTCAGTGGCGCGATTTTTCCAATTTTTAGTAAAATTTTTGCTAGTGCAATTGAAATGTTTTACAAGCCACATGATACTTTGAGAAAAGATTCAAGGTTCTGGACCCTGATGTTTCTAGTTATTGGCTTAGCAGCATTGTTATCATATCCAGCAAGAACTTATTTCTTTGCCGTAGCTGGTTGTAAATTGATACAAAGAATCAGAATGTTATGTTTTGAGAGAGTAGTCCACATGGAGATTGGTTGGTTCGACGAGCTAGAGAATGCTAGTGCTGCTGTTAGGGCAAGACTATCTGCTGATGCTGCATCAGTACGTGCTTTAGTTGGAGACACTTTGGGATTGCTTGTTCAAAATATTTCATCTGGTGTAACGGATTTAGTAATCGCTTTTCTAGCAAGTTGGATCCTCGCATTTGTTGTTCTCATAGTAGTCCCTCCCATAGGACTAAATGGTTACCTCCAAGTAAAGTTTAAACAGGATTTAGTGCAGATGCAAAGGTTCAATCTTCTTTCTCTTATATATATTCGACTACAAGTAATTTTTTTTCTTTGTTAATTGTTATTTCTTCCACTTTTGTAGAAGAAGTATGAGGAGGCTAGCCAAGTTGCTAATGATGCTATTGGGAGTATAAGAACAATTGCATCTTTCTGCGCCAAGGAAAAGATAATGCAACTGTACAAATTGAAATGGAAAGCACCTTTAAAAGCTGGTATAAACAAGGGATTGATTAGTGGGGCGGGTTTGGATTGTTTTTTGCTTTCCTTTTTGGTGTACATGGCTTATGTTTCTACGTCAGAGCACAGCTTGTTGGCCACGGGAAAACAACCTTTGTAGACGGTTTCAAAGTATATTATTCTTACAAGTATCCTAATGAAGAATGATGTATGTAGTTTGTAGAGTAATTTAGTAGAGTAATTGTATCTTATATTTTGGCCTGTAGTACCTTTGTAATATATTGGGTATTAGTGCTACATGTGTCCAGTTGAGTCACTAGAGCTGAGTCACTAGGGCAGAGTAGATCTTTCTAGGGATTGCTTCTTAGGAATATATATATGTGTGTGTAAAGGTAGGAATCAATGAATGATAGAATATCACTCACAGCCGCCACATTCAATTTAGCTGTGATTCCTTACATTTGCTTCCCACATTAAGACGATTATTGTCTTCATGGTATCAGAGCCAAGTTCGAATTTGTAAGGAAAAATCCAACAACAACTCAAATCACCTCTGTTTCCTCTCAAAGATTAAATCTTTATTCCATTTTCTCTGCATAAAGTTTCGATATTTCGCATATAATGTTGAAGATTTCTCTAGCTGATATGCAAAACCCTTTATATCTTCATCCTAGAGATGGAAAGCATTCAATTTTGGTTGAGAAGCTAACAGGCGAAGGTAACTACAAAGAGTGGAGACGATATATGGAGATTAACCTGGCCTCTAAGAGAATAAAGCTGGGATTTGTTACGGGGATGATAAAGAAAGATGAATCTTGTGAAGGCTGATGAGTGGGATACTTACAACAACATGGTGATAGCATCAAAGCCCTCCAAATTACAATAAGGTTTCCCATAAATACTATAGATGACAACTAAATAAATTATCAAAACTTAACTTCTGATTCTTTCGATGTAAACCATTAATTTACTTTGAGCCTAAATCAACAAGTTTGTATAATAATATTTCAATCATAACCTCAAAACTGAAATACCTCTAAAGTACAAGTATATACAGGAAAACAACCAATTTCTAACCACCAAAACCCCAAAAATACATGTCGATTCGCAATATCTTGTGGTAGTTTATCATATATCACCTACTAAAATGTGACTGAGATTAGTAGAAAAATAGAGTACAACAAATAAATTACAATAAACAAGCAGTTCTAACAGAAAATGATGAAAAAAAGTAATCCAAGTCAGAGAATCATAATTGCTGCCCATTGTCACCTTCTCTATGTATAAGAATTTTCTTATTTTGATTCCTTTGCGGCATGCCCGTATAGCATTTTCCATACTTTCACCACTAAGGAAGAATTTCGATAAGAATCCACAAATAAGTATGGCACACTTAGTAAAAGCTTCACACCAGTCCACATTCATATATACTACCCATCAACTAGACAACAACCAAGCTATTACTCTTTCAATTCAGCCACAACAGCAAATTTTAGCGCATTCAAAGTAGAAAGAAATCAATAATACTTGAGCAAGCAAAGCAGATCAATCGAAACCAACAACAAACTAAACAGAAGACTAATTGAACTAAACAAACTAAACCAACAACACAACCTCACTACCATTCAAACAATCAACACAAAGAATTCACAAAATCAAACGAACATCAACCTGAGCAACAAAATCTTGCATAATAATCACCTCCTACATTACACGTAATGCAATCACGCAAAACCTTACACTCATAAAACCAAATTTTCAACACTTAACAAATTAAACAAACATTTATAGACAAAAATAACCCTAGAAATAGAAAAATAAATCAAATTAACAAACAGAAAAAGGAAAGTATATACATACCAATAACCAAGAGTAGGAACCAGGCCGACTTTCGGACTAAGAAAGCGTAGTTTTCGCCGATTTCCAAACAGTTTGGCTGCGCTAAGAGAATTATTGATGAAAATTGTTTCAGAAAACCCTAGTCATCAATGGCGTTGCTTGCGGCGCAGTTATGGAGAAGGAGATTGAAGGAGAGAGAAAAGGAAAGGCAAAGCGGCGGTGGGCTGAGGGATCTGGCCTGCGCTGGCTTCCAGATCTGGCCTGCGCTGGTTTCGATTGCATGTGATTGCGATTTTGAGGAAAGAGAAGGCAAGAGAGAGCCTCCATTGTTGTAGATTCAAGAAATAGACAGCGGCGACGATGATGGTTGTCCTTGGCTCAAATTGACGGCGGTTTTTGAAGGAGAGCAGCAATGGTTGAGACTGAGAACCAGAGATGAGAGAGGCGCAGATGAGAGAAAACGAGAGATCGAGGAAAGAGAAAGAAAGAAGACGGAAAGAGAAAGAAAGAAGAGGGACGAGATTTATTTCTTTTTCACATTCGCACCTGTTGGGTTTGAACCGGTGCGATTAACTCAAGTTTGCACCGGTTCGGTTTGAACCAGTGCGATTACTCTTTAATTAACTCTTGCCTTGTTTTTTCGCACCGATTTATAATAATCGGTGCGAATTTCTCGATGCTCATTTATGTTTTTTTACTAGTGTTGGCACCAGGTCAGGGCATATTGTTGGCATCTAAATCAGCAGCAGTGCTCACAACATATGCAGATAGTGACTGGGGTGGATGTCCTACGACCAGAAGATCGACCACTGGATTTTGTATTTTGTTAGGCTCTTCCCCCGTATCTTGGAAATTAAAGAAGCAACATGTTGTTTCCAGATCCTCTGCGGAAGCAGAGTATAGAGCCATGGCACTAGCTTCATGCGAAGTTACCTAGCTATCACAACTCTTAAAGGACCTGGGCTTGAAGAAAATTGGTGTTGCAAAACTAAGAGTAGACAACAAGGCAGCCCTAGAATTCATTCCTAGTTTGAGGGGGAGTAATGGAGAATGATGTATGTAGTTGGTAGAGTAATTTAGTAGAGTAATTTAGTAGAGTAATTGTATCTTATATTTTGGCCTGTAGTACCTTTGTAATATATCGTGTATTAGTGCTACATGTGTCCAGCTGAGTCACTAGGGCAGAGTAGATATTTCTAGGGATTGCTTCCTATGAATATATATGTGTGTGTGTAAAGGTAGGAATCAATGAATGAGAGAATATCACTCACAGCTAGACGCCACATTCAATTTAGATGTGATTCCTTACATTTGCTTCCCTCATTAATTTAAGACGATTATTGTCTTCAAACCCTATTTCATAACCATTGAACATTTTGAATGTAATATGTAAGTACGTATATTTCTAAGACATGTCTCGTATTTTTTGCAGGCTTTCTTTGCACTTGCTATGGCAGTAGTAGGAATATCACAAACAAGTTCATTTGTTCCGGATAAAAGTAAAGCCAAGAGTTCTACTACCTCTGTATTCTCGATCCTCGATCGAAAGCCTAAGATAGATTCGAGTGATGAATCTGGGGCAACAATTGATCAAGTGAAGGCACTAGTAGAAACACTAAAATGAGCACCGCCAAAAGCGCACCGGTTTTTTAAAACCGGTGCGAAAAAAAGTAGGCGGGATTGAGGGAAAGAGTATTCGCACCTGTTCTAACCAAACCGGTGCAAAAAATGAGTTAATCGCACCGATTCGGTTCGAACCGGTGTGAATGCTATTGTAAAATAAAAAATAAAAAATAAATAAAAAACCAGTCTATATAATCTTCTTTCTTTCTCTTTCCTCGATCTCTCCTCCACTCTCATCTGCCTCTACCTCCTTCTCTCTCCTTCAGTTGAACAATGGAGGTTCAGCACTTTCCTCAAACTCCTTCTCCCTCCTTCGATCTCTTTCTCCACAACCACCACTTTCCCTTTCCTTTCCTCTCTCCTTCTCCATAACTGCGCCGCAAGCAACGCCGCTCTCCTTCTCCTTCTCAGTCCGAAATCGGCGTCATTAAAACCAAGCACAACCACCATCGCCGCCGCCGTCAATTTGAACCAAATACAACAACAACAACAACAACAACAACAACAAACTTGAATCAATTATCGATTCAAAAATCACAAATTCGAGGTATGTGCTCTTCAATTTGAAATCTAGGTTTTATGATTTTTTTTTTAATTAATGATGAACAATTGAAATTTTGATTGAATTTACTGGTGAGAATGTGAGATGATAGGATTTCTGATTTTTATTTAATTTTTTGTGATTATGGTGACGGTGGTCGGTGCTAGTGGTGATGGGTTCGTGGGTGCAATGGTGGTTTCGTGCGGTGGTGGTTTCATGGGTCGTGAGCTGCAGCTACGAGTCTAGTGGTGGTGGTTTTGCATTATATTCACGATTTGGTTGGATGTTCTTTTCTTTTTTCTGGGTTCTTGTTGTTTTTTTTCTGGAATCTTCCAAGCCTTGGCTGAGAAGTTGCGCTCTGACTACGAGTTTGGTCACACTACTGATGCAAAGCTCCTACCAAGGAGTGAGTCATCTGTGAAGAAGCCCACCCTTAGGTTGTTCAAGCCTTTTGACGAGCTTGTGGTTGACTCTCAGGTATAGCAATTTACTCATTTCAAATTTCTTGCAACATAGCAGTTTCTTACGGTAATTCCGTGTGCTGATGAAACCTTGTGATAATATGTAGGATTTTAATGCGGAAGCTCTGGAGAAGTTTGTTGAAGAATCCAGTATTCCTACTATGACTATCTTTAGCAAGGACCAAGCACACCATCCCTATGTTATTAAGTTTTTTAACTCTCTCAATGCCAAGGTATATGTTTTGTTTCTTCTGTACAAACTTGATGGAATTGTCCATGAATGGTTTTGTAATGAATCATCACATGTTTGGTCATAACTAATTTTTCGGATGGATGTGAACATTTTAAGTATCACATAGAACATTGATTCTGATATGCACATGTGGAGTGTGCAATTTCACGTAATTATCTTATTGCTTTCAAACACAAGCAATTTGGCTAACAACAGAAAATTTTGTTAAGAAACCCTTTTTTGTCCATGATTACATTTTGTATTTTGAAGTTAAAAGTACCTAAGTATCCACCAAGTTGGATCTTTATCTGCGCTGTGAGGCACTGCCTCCTCTGTTTGGATTGATGCTTATGTATTGTATGTCTGGATTTTCTATTGCTTTTATTTATAATTCTCTTCTTAATCTGTGTGGAGATGTCATGTTATTGAGGTTCATTAGTAGTTGTAGTCATCGTAGTGTCAGAATCGTCAGTTAAATGTTTACTTAATGACTTTCTAGTTTTGCTTCTGTATAATATATTTACCAGAACTGTAGTCTAAACTTAGGGTATCTTTTTCCTCGCCACCCGTCTCCTCATGGGGCAGTGCCACAAGTGAACTTGATTTGTGCACACTTCTAGCGGACTGAATGTTAATTATGTTGAATTTTTGACTAATTTTTCAGTATCTTGGAGTTAAAGAGGATCAAGTACCTCTCATTATTGTCTAGACCAACGATGGGAAGAAATATGTTAAAGATAAAGTGGAGGCTGATCAAATTGCATCATGGATCCAGGATTACAGTGTAATTTATTTTCTATTAGCATTTTCAGTTTTTTTTGCTCTAGTTGAGGTTTTGCTAGTAAAAGTTATTTATGTATGAATAAGTGCATAACTGGACAATGATGTGATATTGTAGGAAGGCAAGGTGGCCGCACACAAGAAGTCAGAACCCCTCCCCGAAAGCAATTAATGATGAACCTGTGAAGGTGGTTGTTGCAGACACCCTTCAGGATATAGTTTTCAACTCTGGAAAAAATGGTAAGGATGTTTGTGTGCCCTATTTTGTTTCCTTCTTGAGGCCTGTTTCGGGGTTTTCTGAGGTGTCCTACGGGAGAGTTACAGCACCGGGAATGCACGTCTGACTTCTATACCTACAAAACCACGAAACTCCGGTTGGGTGGAGTTCCGCCTCCGAAGGTCAAGTTAGTATGATTCCGGATGAGATTATGTGCGGAAAGTAAACGGGTATTTCTCTCAGATTCCGGGAGATTCCGCAATTAATATTGCTCGGGTTTGGTGTGAGTATTTATGAATGCCAATAAATGAGGTAGATTCCTATATTAATAGCAAATGAGGATCTGCTCCCCCATTGGGGGTACAATGCCACGTGGCATCCATTTGTTGGATGCCCATGGTGCTATAGGGAGGTGACACGTGTCTAGGGTAATTTTTACCCTAAACATTTGCCCCTCACGGGTGCTGACGTGGCTATGCCACGTGGCACCTGTGACACGTGCCAACCAGGCAGGAGGGCGACGGTTTGCCTCCTTCCCTCTTCTTTTTCAAATTTTAAACTAGGGGGGAAGAGGAGGTGACGGTTCACCTTCTGAGATTTCCTATAAATAGGAATCTCCCTCCTTTCATTCCTCACTATGCCATTTTTGAGAAAAAAAGAGAGAGAACTCCTGACCCCGCCTACTTGCTCGTGCAAACAGCCTTCAACTTCCAAACGTCCGGATACCGCTTGAGTTACGTAGCCCGTCTCACTAAGGTATCCTTCTGACTTAATCGGTCTCTTTTGTTGGATGTTTGATTATGCTGCAACCGGCTTTTGCCGTCTGGAGCTTCTTTAGGCAATTTTTATAACAAATTGCGTCTATTGAGAATCTCAGCCGGTGTAAACCGTCTGAGTTATCTTCGAGCAATTCCCTTCTAAGCTGTTTTGCTGGAACCCCCAACCGGTTCTTTACCGACTGAGGTGTCTTCAAACAGCTTTTTCATTTCAACGAATACGCAACCAGCTTTCAGGCCGCCTGTGTTGGTTCCGTTCCATTCTTTTTGCGCGTTGTCCATTGGTGAGCCTCAGCCGGTTTATACCGTCTGTGGGGTCTTTGGACAATCCTTATAAAATCTTCAGACTTTGCTCTGCATATCTACCACAACCGGCCTTTCCAGCCTGTGGTATCTTTGGGCAACATTGGTGATTAATTTCTTTCTTTTGCCAATCTGCAGTCTGCTCAAAGCGATACCGTTTGGGGTATCTTTGGTCAACAACCCTTCGACTCCTTTCTCCAAACTTTTATTTAATTTCAAGGTAACGTCTTGGTTCCTTGTCTTTTGGAGTTTCTTTATTTTTAAGTCTTTTGGCTGTATATATCTTAGAATAATGACCTCACCCATCACACACACGACACACCACAATTTAGAGGTCAGTCGGTCTCTTGGTACGGCTGAGTCTAGGACTGGGGGTGCCGCCTCTGGGTACGGGGAGTCTCCTTGTTCATCTCCGAAACCGACCGTCTCTGTCTCTGTGCAGGACGCAATGGCTCGTACAAAAAAGACTGCCTTCGATCCAGAGTACAGAGAAGCGGACTCTGGCGAGCTGCCATCTGACCCTAATCAGGCGGAGGTGACAAGGGATTCACCGTATGACACCCCAAGCACTCCCAGTGATGGGATATTGGGTATGGATCAGGGAGGCGGCCGGCGAAACCCAGGAAGGGGATGCCAACGACAATGAGGCCGCCTCCTCATCCGGTACAAAGCAAAGTGGCAGTAGTAGCAGCCTCTTGACGCTGGATGCTGATAGTAAGGCGGAGGAGAGGCCTAATTGGAATAATAAAGGCGACCCCTTCCTCATCGTCGTTTCTGCCAAGGATAGGGCTAGCATGGCCAATAATTTAGAGGACTTCATAAAGATTCGTCCTCTTGGAAAGGATTGGAGAATAATTGTGCCGCCTGAGATGGGCACTATTGTTTGGGAAGACGAGCAGCCCAATGCAAACAGGTACTTTGGGTGCTACGAAGCGGCGTTCCTGGCTGGCCTCCGCTTCCCCCTTCATAACACAATCAAGGCCATCCTTCTAGGGTATGGCCTGGGCATCTGGCAGTCAACCCCTAATTCTTGGGTTAACATTTTGGGGTATATAGCCGCCTACGAGATGCAGGAAATCAACCCCGGCTGGGAGGCCTTTGCTCACATGCATTACTTGAGCAGAAGCCCAGGCGGTTAGAGAGCCTGGTACACATTGACCACATATCCCCAGTACCTAATGACCTTAGACAAACCGTCTCATTGGTCGGACTGGAAGAACAGGTTTTACTTGGTCTCCGCTCCCACCCAGGAGGAAAACCGGGAGTATAGGACATACAACCGGAAGCCAGACCTTCTGGGCCACAAGTGCAAGAAGCCTCGTATCCCGGATGAGGACTACGAGCGAATAATTGAGTCCAAGTTCTTTGAACAGACTACGACAACCCTCTCCAATAGGGAGTTAATAAGCGTACCCAGGAATTGGGTGCCCAAGCACGAATTTCTTCGAGACGAGGCGTTTTTGTCCGTCTATAAGCTTAGCACTCAGTTTGATAAACGTAGGTCACATTAGAGATTGCCCCTATTTTGTTTTGCAATGACTCATTCCTTGTTTTGTTTGTTTTTCTAACCGGATGGGTTCTTTTGTGCAGTGCGTGGCCTAGCCATGTTGCCTGCTGACAAGACACCCGCCAAGTCAGCCGCTGAAATCCGCAAGGCTAATGCGGAGAAGAAGCTTGCTGCCCAGGCGGCAAAAAATAAGGTATCTTGCTTTTTCCTTCTTTTTACTTCGATTTCTGTTTGACTTCTATGCCGCCTGATCTCTGTGCTTGTTTTTTCAGGATGGGAACAAGGTGCGCCACTCCGTTTCAAAATTAATAAGGCCTCGGCCTAGAGAGGAGCCGCCAATCCACAACAAGGCGAGGAAGACTTCCTCCTCGACAGTACCCAGTCGTTAGACGGTTGGAGGTAAATCTGTCAAAAACCTCGGCCTGGGGTTTGATCTAACGGCAAGGCAGCCGGATGTTCCTGAGAAGGAGACAATGCCGCCTAGGGCATCCGGCGCTTCTGTACCGGCTGAGGGCAGTCGCGATCCTCTGCCTACATCCCAAGATACTATTGACCCCTTCAACCCTTCTTTGCTTGGCAAGCCTATGCGGGTCAAGTCGCACTCCCAGCTCCAACCAGAAGACTCTTCTGGCAGCCGGAAGTCGATATGAGGGAAGTATGTTGCCTTCTCACCATCTTTTTCTGGTGCAGATCACTCCCCTCGCTGGCCGGATGTACAGAAATACGCCCGGGCCATGCTGAAGGCCATACCCAAAGAAGAGAAGGAGGCGATCCCAGTGATCCAAACCTTCAATGCCGACCAGGTTCTGGCCGGACTGTCTGAGGTACATAATCTTCCAATTCGTTTAAGTTGTTATGCCACCTGACCCCTTCTGACTCCGCTTGGGCTTTTGTAGTCAATGCTGCGCGTGGAGGGGCTCAAGAAAGCCTACGCCCGCAAGTGTCAGGAGGTAAGACGGGCTAAACGGGATGCGTCTGACGCCCATAACGTTGTCCAGTATTCCATGATTATGCATGAATTGAAAACTAAAAGCATAATCATACAACAGGCGGATTCCATCAAGACGCTCCAGAGGGCGCTTAATGAAGCCGACACCAAGCTCCACAATCTTAAAGCGGAGAAGGAGAATGCCGAGGCGGAGCTGAAGAAGGTGACTGACTCTTCCAAACTTCTGGAGTTGGCCAGGAAGGAGAATACAACTCTCCTTGCTGACAACGTCCGCCTGAAGAAGGAGACGGTCAAGGCTAGCGACAACTTTAAATCTACGCTGGAGGCTGAACAGAGTCGGCTCATTGAAGAGAATGAGCAAGATTGCGTCACTCGAATGCAAAAGGCTTGGTCCCTGGTTCATCCGGACACGGAGTATACCGTCTGGGAGCTTGCCTATAAATACGCTGATCTTGCCATTGAGACCGAGGAATCGCAGCAGCCGGCTCTAGAGTCTTATGAGGAGTGGGTCCCGAAGCAGATCAAGGCCATGCAGGCGGAGATCGACTCAGAAGGGGGAGAGATCAACGGACGTGCCATGTGTCTAGCTCCTTGGGTGGGTTTCCGAATGCTTAATTGAAGAATTGCGGAAACTATCTGGGTAGGTCGACGTAGAAGCCGACTTAGACATGCTCTGACTTCTCTTCTCCTGGATTAACAACCGGGCATCAGAGAAGGTCTTTTTTGACCCATCCGGTTGTATGTGCCGGATGGCCTTTCGCTGCCCTGATTCAGGGAAACGAATTTTTGAGAGATTGATCAGGGCCCATCCGCCCCCTTAGGCTTCGGGTGAGGAGTAGGCACCCGGTCTTTAATTGGCTTCTTCATGGAAGCCTTCTTAGCCGACTGGCCCTTGCTGGAGCCAGCTGACTTCTTGATGATGTCCTTGATTTCCCCTTTGAAACTAGTCATGAGGTTCATGAGCTCGTCTCTGGTGACGGGGGCAGCCCCCTCCGCCGCCTGGGGTTGTCCAGGGTGCTTGCCGCCTGGGTTGTTGGGGCAAGCTTTGTCTTGACCCCGTTCCTTCCTTTCTTTAGAATGGGTGCGCCTAGAACGGAATGAACCGTCTGGGGCCATATAGGTTTCGACATAGTAGTCGTCACCGCTTCCACTTTCGTGGTCCGTATGGACCTCAGGGTAAGCTAGGGGCCGGCTGCCCTCTACAGTTGGTACATTTTCAGATGTCATCTCAGTGGTACTCTCCCCACGGACGGCGCCAAATGTTTCGGGGTTTTCTAAGGTGTCCTACGGGAGAGTTACAACACCGGGAATGCACGTCTGACTTCTGTACCTACAAAACCACGAAACTCCGGTTGGGTGGAGTTCTGCCTCCGAAGGTCAAGTTAGTATGATTCCGAATGAGATTATGTGCGGAAAGTAAACGGGTATTTCTCTCAGATTCCGGGAGATTCCACAATTAATATTGCTCGGGTTTGGTGTGAGTATTTATGAATGCCAATAAATGAGGTAGATTCCTCTATTTATAGCAGATGAGGATCTGCTCCCCCATTGAGGGTACAATGCCACGTGGCATCCATTGGTTGGATGCCCATGGTGCAAAAGGAGGTGACACGTGTCAGGCCCTTATTGGGCCACGTGTCTAGGGTAATTTTTACCCTAAACAAAGCCCATGTTTATTTTTACATGTATTTATCATATTTAATTACTACAGTTCTTTTGGAGTTTTACGCACCTGGTGTGGACATTGCCAAAAGTTGGCTCCGATCTTGGATGAAGTTGTCGTTTCCTTTGAAAATGAAAAAAGATATTATCATTGCCAAGCTTGTAAGAATATCTCCTTGTCACTTGTTACTTGATGTAGTCTTCATGATAGCTATCATGCAAACCAAGAGAACAAATTGAAGTGCATCACATATTATATAGGAGGACTTGTTCTGACCAAGGGATGTGTCCAGGTAGAACCTTCCTTCTTTAAATGATTACCTTTCATTCAGTACTACAGCTCTACAGGGAATATTCTGCATGACATTGCATATGACACTGCTTTCCTAAACCTTTTGTTTCTCCTTCCCTACCCTTGATTACTACTACGTGTTTTAATATTTGTTTGATATATATTAGGTGTGGTGCACAGAATGCTATGAGCCCATGACCAACTGTTTTCTCCCCTCTTTTTTTCGTGGGGATTGGGGAAAATACTACGTGTTTTAATATTTGTTTGCTGAGGTTGGTGACATAACTTCTAATTTTGGCAGGGAGGTTAACAAGGCAAGTTATGGGAGTCACTGAAGATGGTACTGCAAAAGGGTTTTTACCGATCGAGTGAGGAATTGTTTGCAGTCCACTACCCTGCATATCCTTCATCCATGTCGTGTGCTGTTGAAAGCAGGCAGCCCTAGAGCAAGCAAGTGATGATTCTAGTTTTGTTTAATAAGAAATTTTCTCAAGCTCGAGCTCACCTACATTGAATCTAGACATGACATTTCCCAGCAGTCATTCAACTGTTAATGAACTTCAAAGGAGCTTGATGTCACGCGCTGACTAATTCCCTTAGTCTTTTGCACGCGGCCTACTAGAGTCACCACCCGTTAGACTACTAGTCAAGGCTCCCAATTGCTTAGCAAAGCTAAATATTGATGTTGTTAGTTAAGTGTGGTTTGCTTGGAAAGCACAAGTGAGAATATATGAGAAGGCTTTAAGGAAAAAGGCTTTTTATAAATGCTTGAGAGAATACAAGTGTTTTCGTACCTACCAAGAATGGGTGGGAGGTTTCCTATTTATAGGCACCATCCCTTTCTAGAGTGTTCTAATCTAGATGCTTCCTAACCTCCTCAAATGGAAGGTTCTAGGGAACTCTATATACTTTCTGTTTACATAGGCTTATGTACAATGTTCTAGAACCATCTACAAAGTTCTAGCATCTTAAGTTTGTACAAGTTGTCCCTAGAGGCTTCTAGAGACCTCCGGATGCTCCACGAACCTCTTCGTGCATTCTGGAAGGTTCTGGGCCTCATCTTCAAATTCTGGCTGCACCATCATCTTTATTGGGCCCAAAAATGATGGGCCATCAAGTTTGGGCTCATTTGGAGTCCATTAAGCCCGGCCCATGGCCCATTATTGTGTTACTGTCATGGGCGTGTTCACTAGAGTAAATGGCAGGGTGCTAAATAAAGCTCTATAGGGGGAAGGGTGTTCTGGCCTTGCTAGCCATGCACCAAGGGCATTCCCCCTGGCCACGATTATAACTTGCTGCCTAGTGGCTCTAGTGAGGGGTGGGAATATGTGAGTCGTGACATGCTCCCCCACCCAAGTCTTGACGTCCCCGTCAAGGCCGCCCTTCGAACTTAGCTATCTTGTCTTGGAATTGCCATAGGTCTCCTTCTTTTTCCCACGTTGCTTCACTATCCGGGAGACCCTTCCAACGAACAAGATACTCGTTGTAGCTTGGAACCCCTCTCTTTCTTATGAGCCTCTTGGCCTCAATTGTCTCGATGTCCCTCTCGAAGGATGCCACCACAGCCGTGGGCGCCCTTTGTGACTCGCCCCTTTTTGGATCTTCATGGTCAGCTTGATAGGGCTTGAGCATGCTCACGTGGAACACCGGATGAATCTTCAACCTTGGGGGTAACTCAAGCTTATATGATGTTTTCCCAACCTTCCTTAGTACGGGGAATGGTCCCTCATACTTTCGCACAAGACCCTTGTGCACCTGTCGGAAGACCTTGAATTGTTGAGGTAGCAGCTTCACCATCACCAAATCTCCTACTTGGAACTCCATTGGGCGCCTATGCTTGTCAGCCCACTTCTTCATCTTCTTGGCCGCCTTGTCCAAGTAAGCCTTGGATATATCGAGTTGCTCGTGCCACCCTCGTGCAAGCTTGTAAGCAGCTGGGCTGCTCCCTGTGTACCCCGAGGCGATCCCTTGTGGAGTCAAGGGTTGCTGTCCCATGACTATTTCGAAGGCACTTTTGCCCGTAGCCTCGGATCTTTGTAGGTTGTAGGAGAATTGGGCAACATCCATGTACTTAGCCCAATCTCGCTGATTGGCACTCACATAGTGCCTGAGATATAGCTCCAGCAAAGCATTCACCCTTTCGGTTTGCCCATCCGTCTGGGGGTGAAAGCTTGTTGAGAAGTGGAGTCCGGACCCAAGCAACTTGAATAATTCTGTCCAAAATTTTGCTGTGAACCTTGGGTCTCGATCACTGATGATGTTCCGAGGCAAGCCCCAATATTTTACCACGTTCTTGAAGAATAGATGGGCTGCTTGCTCGGCTGTGCAATCCCTTGGTGCCGGTATGAACGTGCCATATTTGGAAAAGCGATCGACAACCACCATGATCGAGCCATACCCATCTGACTTGGGTAGGGCTGAAATGAAATCCATTGATACGCTCTCCCATGGCCCTTCAGGTATAGGAAGTGGCTCAAGTAACCCAGCCGGCACGCGTTGTTCGACCTTGTCTTGTTGGCACACAAGACAAGTCTTTACATAGGCCTCCACATCTTGCCCCATGTGTGGCCAATAGTAATTCTTCTCCAGGAGTGCTAACGTGCGTAAGACGCCAGGATGACCAGCCCACTTAGAGTCATGGCACTCTTTCATGATATCTCGCCTAAGATTATCCCACTTAGGCACGAATAGTCGCCGTCCAGCAGTATAGAGGATCCCATCCTCTATCCAAAACCTTCGGGTTTTGCGTTCCTTGACTAGGTTCAGGAGCCCCTTAGCTATAGGATCTTGAGTAAGACCATCCTTGATTCTGTCCAAGATGGTGCTTGTGGCGCGACTAATAGCTGCAAAGGTGGCCTTGCGGCTTAGAGCATCGGCGACAAAGTTTACTTTGCCTGGCTTATACACCATGACATAGTCAAATTCGGCCAGGAAGTCTTGCCAACGAGCTTGCTTGGGGCTTAATTTCTTCTGATTTTGGAAGTAGCTTGTCGCAACGTTGTCGGTGTAGATGGTGAACCGACTCCCGAGCAGGTAGTGCCTCCATATCCGCAAGCAATGAATTATGCCCGTCATCTCCTTGTCATGGACAGGATATCTCCTCTCCGTATCGTTTAGCTTGCGAGATTCGTAAGCAATGGGATGCCCCTCTTGCATAAGGACCCCACCTATGGCATAATCGGAGGCATCCGTATCAGCTCGAATGGCTTTGAGTAATCAGGCAAGGCTAGGACGGGTTCTTCCGTGACTGCCTTCTTCAACCCATCGAATGCCCTTTGACACTTCTCGTCCCAACACCACTGGGCCTTCTTCTTGAGCAAATCGGTCAAAGGTGCTGCCTTAGCCGAGTAGCTTCGAATGAACCGCCGATAGTAGTTGGCAAGGCCAAGGAAGGATCGTAGCTCGGACACATTCCTTGGCTCACCCCATTCTTGGATGGAGCGCACCTTGTCATGCTCCATCATAATCTTGCCAGCCTTGATATGGTGCCCTAAAAAAGACACCTCATCTTGGGCAAACGAGCATTTCTCCTTTTTGACATATAGCTCGTTCTCCCGTAGAACCTTGAACACTTGCGCCAGATGCTGCTCATGTTCCTGCAAAGTGTTACTGTACACCACAATGTCGTCTAAATAGACGACCACAAACTTATCCAAGAAAGGCTGGAAGATCTTATTCATCAAAGTGCAAAAGGTTGCCGGGGCGTTGGTAAGGCCGAAGGGCATTACCAAGAACTCAAAGGACCCATAGCGAGTTACGCATGCCGTTTTTTGCTCATCCCCTTCGGCGATGCGTACTTGCCAGTACCCCGACCTCAGATCAAGTTTAGAAAAGTACCTGGCGTTCCCTAATCGATCGAACAAATCTGCCACAAGGGGAATGGGGTATTTGTTCTTCACAGTGATCTTGTTCAACGCCCGGTAGTCTATACACATGCGCAGGCTTCCATCATGTTTGCGCTGGAACAAAACAGGTGCCCCGTATGGTGCCTTAGATGGTTGAATAAAACCAGCATCGAGCAATTCCTTCAACTGCTTCCGTAGCTCTTCAAGCTCCGGTGGGGCCATCCTGTAAGGTGCCATGGCTGGAGGCCTTGCCTCAGGCTCCAGCTTGATCTCATGATCTACTTCCCTTCTAGGGGGAAGCTTTTTGGGTAGCTCGGGCGGCATGACATCTTCAAACTCTTTGAGAACCCTGACAATTTCCACGGGGATCTCTTGTTGCACCTCGAGTTTCTCCTCAACCATTGTTGCCAAAAAGGTTGTCTGCTTCCTCTTGATGCCCCTGTCGAGTAGTATTGCGGACAACATCTTGGCTTCGGCTTCCTCCCGAGCAACGGGGACTGACCATGTTCCTTGTCCTCTCTTGATGGTCAGCGAGCCATCCTCTTCGAATGTGAAAGGCCTTACTGAGTCCATAAACTCCAATCCTAGCACCAAGTTGAAATCATCCATGTCGACGACTGTGAAATCTACTGCCCCCTCCCATTCACTCAACTGGAGTGGGACCCCACGAGCCACACCGTGGATGGGTGTTTGAATAGTGTTCACCGTTTTCAAAGAACCCTTCTTCTTGGTGAACTTAAGGCCCAACCTTGTGGCTTCTTTGAGCGTCACAAAGTTGTGGGTAGCACCAGTGTCGACTAATGCTTTTGAGGCCTTTCCCCCAACTATGGCTTCAACAAACATAAGATATGGCTTTTTGTCCCGGGGTAGCGTACATACCTTGGCCAGGTCCTTGTCCTCCTTGGGCTCCTCCACCGTAGCCTTCACACTGTTGCACAGGCGCAACGTCCCCATGTGTGCTTCGTCCCCTGACGATTCCCCAGGTGATGTAGCCATGATAGCATTGAGCTTCCTCTTTTGTGGGCACTCCCTAGCCCAGTGATCACCCCCGCATAGGAAGCAATCTAAGCGCTTTGACTTTCGGTCTGAGTGGAACTTCTCCTTGTCCTTCTTCTCAGACGATTTGCTACCGTTGTGGCTTCGTTCGGTGGGCTTGGCTCCCCCACCTTTCCCCTTGTTGCCGCTGCTCTTGTTGCCTCTCTCCTTCCTTGGTTCTTGCTTGAACTCGTACAAGGACTCGGCAGCAGCGATGGCATCAGCGAGAGTTTGGACGTTTCGGCGCTTCAACTCTTGCTCAGCCCATCGTTGTAGACCATCCATAAAGTAGAGAAGTTGAGTCTTCTCCGGCATCTCGGTCACCTCTAGCATGAGTGAAGTGAACTGTTTGATGTACTCCTTGACTGACCCCGTATGCTTCAACCCACGCAGCTTCTTTATGGCTACCTCTTCCGAGTTTTCTGGATAGAATTGCTTCTTGAGGTCGCTCTTGAACTCGTCCCAGGTGTTGAGTTGGACAACACCCTTCTTGATGTCGGTCTCGCGCCTTCTCCACCAAAGGATAGCATCGTCCCCCAAGTACATGGTAGCGGTGTTGATTTTTGATGCATCGTCGTCCAAATGCATCGCGCCAAAGTACTTCTCGATGCTCCACAGGAAGTTCTCAAGCTCCCCGACTCAAGACCCTTGACCCTAGCCTCAACATCATCGTACTGTTCGTTGAGGTCATTAATGCTATCTCGTTGTTCCGAGATGGCCTGGACCATACTAACCATCTTCTCCTCAAGCAAGGTGGTACGGCTAGCTTTCTTACTGGTGTTTCCCTCTTCCACAACGGATGCATGGGCATCGTCCTTTTGTGCCATACTCCTGACTTCCGCACTTATCTTCTAACAACAACTAGCACACAAACGCAACAGACCGCCCCTTCGATCGACGTTGCTCTGATACCACGTGTCACGCGCTGACTAATTCCCTTAGTCTTTTGCACGCGGCCTACTAGAGTCACCACCCGTTAGACTACTAGTCAAGGCTCCCAATTGCTTAGCAAAGCTAAATATTGATGTTGTTAGTTAAGTGTGGTTTGCTTGGAAAGCACAAGTGAGAATATATGAGAAGGCTTTAAGGAAAAAGGCTTTTTATAAATGCTTGAGAGAATACAAGTGTTTTCGTACCTACCAAGAATGGGTGGGAGGTTTCCTATTTATAGGCACCATCCCTTTCTAGAGTGTTCTAATCTAGATGCTTCCTAACCTCCTCAAATGGAAGGTTCTAGGGAACTCTATATACTTTCTGTTTACATAGGCTTATGTACAATGTTCTAGAACCATCTACAAAGTTCTAGCATCTTAAGTTTGTACAAGTTGTCCCTAGAGGCTTCTAGAGACCTCCGGATGCTCCACGAACCTCTTCGTGCATTCTGGAAGGTTCTGGGCCTCATCTTCAAATTCTGGCTGCACCATCATCTTTATTGGGCCCAAAAATGATGGGCCATCAAGTTTGGGCTCATTTGGAGTCCATTAAGCCCGGCCCATGGCCCATTATTGTGTTACTGTCATGGGCGTGTTCACTAGAGTAAATGGCAGGGTGCTAAATAAAGCTCTATAGGGGGAAGGGTGTTCTGGCCTTGCTAGCCATGCACCAAGGGCATTCCCCCTGGCCACGATTATAACTTGCTGCCTAGTGGCTCTAGTGAGGGGTGGGAATATGTGAGTCGTGACATTGAGCTCACCTGCACTGAATCCAGAAACAGCCCTTCTTAATAGTTATTATACCTAAAGAAATAGTGTTAATATTAGTGTATTTCTATATCAATTTAAGTGAATAAAATGCAAAAAAAAAAAAAAAAAAAAAAAAAAAAAAAAAAAAAAAAAAAAAAAAAATTTCTTGGGGCATTAAGGGCACCGGTTTTGGTTTTGAACTGCCGCTAAAAGTTTTTTTTTATTTTTCTGCGCCATTATTCGCAGCGGTTTTGGAACAGATTCGGGGCGAAAAACAAGTTTTTAGCACCGATTCTGAACATGTGCTAAAGTTTTTTTTTGGCATCCCTCAAATCTACACCGGTTCAAAACCGGTGCTATATGGGGGTTTTGAACCGGTGCCCTTTTATATTTTTCTACTAGTGAGGGTGACATTCAATTCAGAAATGTTCGCTTCACCTATCCCACTAGACCTGATATTGAGATCTTCCAAGACCTAAACTGGACAATTAATGCAGGATAGGTAATTGTGTCATCAAATGTATATCCCTCTATTTCATAAAACTGCAATTCTTTGAATTTTGTAGTATTCTTCATAAACTAATACTCCCTCCGTTTTAAAATACTTGCTCTATTTTTTCATGCGCGGAGTTTTAGGAGAAATTGGACAAAGTAATACAATATGGGGGTAGTGAGGTAGGTGAAAGAATAAAAAATTGTAAAAAACAAAAGTAGTGGAGATAAATGGAGAAGAGAGAATATGAAATTAATAAAATATGATTCATGGTGGGTTCACTAGGTGAGAGAAATTTATTAAATATTGTAAAAGCTTTCCGAATAAGGAAATGGAGCAAGTATTTAAGAAGGCCGAAAATGAAAAGTAAAGCAAGTATTTAAAAACGGAGGGAGCATATAAAGTGTAAATGCTGATATTAAAAAATGTTAGATTAAAATCAATGTACATCATCAAAATAAGGTGTTTTAGTGAGAATTAGAAATATTACCTCAATTAATTGTTATCTGTAATTTTGGAAGATTATTTGTGAGATATAAAAAATTACAAAGTTACAGATTACAACTAACGGAGGTAGTAATGTAGTATTAACGTTGTTGCATATGTGAAATCCATAGAGCTGCAACTTTTATGAAATAGAAGTGATTTTTTCAGTTTTCACTACGAAGTAGATGTAAATGTCTAAGTTTTAAGACAGGGCGATGCTCTGGATTATTGCATTAATTTTATAATTTAAATCCTTACTTATATGGAGAACTTAATTTTTATAAAATGATGACATGTGATATGACAATATCTTAGCAGTAAATCAGTAACACAATAGTTTTTAACATAAGGTCGTCATGAGTTCAAATATTGTACAGTCCATGTTCTTAAACACGTGAAATAAAAGGCTCAATTAAATGAGGAGAGAACCATGTAGCACTTAAAGTTGTTTAAAAGCACCTTCTATTATATACGAATAGTTAATTGCAAATTTAACATTTCGACAGTGGCTCTTGTGGGGGAGAGTGGGAGTGGAAAATCAACTGTGATTTCCCTTTTGCAAAGATTCTATGATCCAAATTCTGGCTACATAACTCTAGATGAGATTGAAATTCAGAAGCTCCAGTTAAAATGGTTAAGGTAACAAATGGGTCTTGTGAGTCAAGAACCTGTTCTTTTTAATGACACTATAAGAGCTAACATTGCATATGGAAACGGAGGCAACGCCGTGGAAGATGAAATTATATCTGCTGAAAAGCTAGCAAATGCTCACAATTTCATTAGTAGCCTGCAACAGGTATGTTGTCATATTGCTTACAAAATTCTTAGTAGATTAGTCGACACTTTGACTGACACAAAGTTTTAAACTTTTAACTAATGATTTTTTTTTTTTTTTAATAATCTCTCTCTCTTTTTTTTTAATATTGCATCCCTTAACTTATGCTCTTCTCAATTAATATTGACTTAAATTTTTTATGAGCTAAAAATAAATAATTGTTATTATGTAAGATATAATTGGATTAGTTACGATAACAATTTTCATAATTTTATTTTTCTTACAATTTTAACTAAAAGATAATTAAAGATATTATTGATGAAAGTTATGTCTTTATAAATGTGCTAGTTAAAATGATGCAAATGTTAAAAAGCTAAGAGAGTGACGGTTAGTGAATGATGCAAATGAAAAAAAGCAAATGTAAATGTGCTAGTTAAAATGCTGCCAACAATTAAAGTTGTGACATAAGGTTAGAGCAAAAGAGCAACCTGAACATAGCTAACTTATGGCATGAGCTAGCCGCCCTAGTAATATAGAATGAGTATGCTCATGTCATTTATGGAAAGAAAAAGTTATGTGTAAACTAAATAGGGATGGCTTTATTAAAAAAAGTCTATCAATTAGATAGAGATAGAGAAAGTACGGATTAATAATTAAAGTCTACTACGTATAATAAACATGTTTTAGGGCTATGATACAGTTGTTGGTGAAAGAGGAGTACACCTATCAGGAGGCCATTTGATCTAAATGGGTTGTTTAGTTTGCTCATTTGATCTAAATGGGCAAAACTTGTACAAGTTCTTTTTAGTGAGAAAATTTTAACAGTTCTCATTTAAATTTACAAGTGTAAAAATAATGTTTGTTTGAAATGCAGATTCATATTAAAGTTCAGATTATTAAAAATACACAAAACTTGAGATTATTTTGGACGGATGAAGCAAAGTTCAGATTATTCTATGTAATTTTTCCAAAATAAAATTCAAAGAGAAAAATAATTTATGTTTTACTAGATTTTTTAAGAAAAATTGGTAAGTATAATTTCAACTTTCACGTATTCGCTTCAAATAATCCTAAATTTGGGATTTTCTTATATAATCCAAACATTTGGGGGTGTTCGCTTTCATTGGTCCTAACCAGTCACCCAACCTATTATAATAGGTTACTGGCACGTGTCAGCAATTTACAAGTCAAAATAATATTTTTTTAAAAAATGAAATAAATAAATTCAAACACCTAGCCCTGCCGCGCCATCTCCGCCAAGTGACACCCCTGCCACCTCCGACACCCCCCAACCCTGCAAACGACCACCCATCCCCACCCCACCCCTTGACATTGTTGCCCCTAAGCCCATCACCCAAAAACAGCCCCCGTCCCCTAGCACACCACCAGAAACCCCACCCCTTCCCATTCCCCAGCCCTGAATTGAAAACCATTCGAAGAGGCGTTTCAAGGCTAAGGAACGAGAGAGGCCAGGGATGGTTTTTGAGGTATCTTCGGGGAAAGGGGCGGGGATGGTTTTCGAGGGTGGGGGTGTGAATTAGGGCGGTTCCCGACTGTGGTTTTGGGAGAGGGTAATTTCGAAGGGTGTGAGTAGGGATGGAGGGATGGTTTTGGTGACGGGGAACGGGTTGGTTGGTGCCGGAGGTGGAGGGTGGAAAAGTGGCGTGGTTGGGAAACTGTTTTTAATTTATTTTATTTTATTTTAATTTAATCATTTTTAATCACGTGCTGATATGTGTCCATAAAATCCAAAAAGAAATTTACCAATTTTATCGATTATCGATCACTTGGGAGTTGGGACCAATAAAAGCGAATACATGAAAGTTGTGATTACTTTATCCAATTGATCCAAATATTTATATTTAATAAAAATAATTTAAGTTTAAGTGATTTAGTTAAACAAAAATCTTGGGACAAAAACATGGCCTATATTATCTGGCACAATCCCTCTCTTTACCATAAGGAAAATTTCAATAGACCCCTTCTACATACATTCCTACAACTACCTATCTCAAATTTCTGTATCCAATTCAAGATTATATTTTCTAATTGAACAGTTGTAGTTGGGCACAAGAAAGCTGAAAGCTCTTCTAAATTTTACAAAGGCGTAACCAATTAATTTAACCTTATGTCGTTCTCTAACCTTAGTCAAGTCTCTAAGTAGTCAAGATTTTTTGGGGGTGGGATGGGCTTTCTTTTCTACTTCCTTTCAATTGTTGTTTGTAGTTTCCTCTAGAATTTCTTAAGCTCGGTGTTTCAGCCTTGTTTTCTTCTCTGCTAGCTGCTTGCACCTCCGCTTCTAGTTGCCAATGCTCTAGATCATCCTCGCCGACAATCTAGTGTTACGCAAGATCGTAGGTGAGATCAACACTGATTTCTTCGCCGCCTCATCGCTATTGCCACTCACCGCTTCATGATTGTCGTTGGTTGTTTGGTTATTTACTTGTTTGCTTTAACTTCTATGAGAAGCTATACGTTTTAGCATTGTAGAGAAGTTTTGTTTTGCTTCTTTAAGAAGCTTGTTTTTTAGCATAGGTCTTTATTATTATTTTTATGTTTTTTAATTTTCTGAATTTTTCTTTTATCTTTTGTCTATTAGTCTTTCCCTGAAATAGGAATACTTTTAGATTCTAGTAGTCTTTCCTAAGATAGGGAGATTACTAAATACCGTGTACCTTTCCAATTTTTTTTTTTATCAAGATTTTTGTTGGCGATAATAATACTATATAATTCATCTACAATTCAAACTTATGACTTTTACAGGATTGAGCTTTCTTTGCCAAGAAGAATGTTCTTAACATGTTCATGTGTACATCATTCAGTGTGTCATGGTACCTCAGATACTCCTTCCATATTTTGTAATCACAATATACTTTGTATTTATTTAGAAGTTTTGACTTTTGATACCTCTAAATAATCCTACTTTGATTTTTAATGCCTATTTAATTTTTTTTTTTTATTTTTAAAATTTATTACCATCAAAAATCCAAATGTATACATTTACCTTCTAATCGTTTCTAAACCGTTAGTGGGCCCACTCGTTAACTATTAGATTTTTTTGTTTTACGTGCCGAAAATTATTCCATTAAGGAGGTCGATCATTTTGTCTCTAAAGAATCCAAAATAACCTCGAAATTGAGAAAATATTAATGTAAATGCCTCGTTTTGTATGTCAACTAAGGTATCGATTTGCATATCATTAATTTTTTTAGCATCGAAAATTGTTCGGGTAACAGGAATGCCATGATTTATTTATCTACTGAGAAAGCTCACGATGTATTATGTTTTGTTTTGTTTAAATTATTTTTACTATTTTTTTTAAACCAAATTATTTTTACTACTTATTTCACACAAATTAGCAAAAAAAAATACTATTATTCGTATTATAATCATACATCATACGGGGCTAATCCGGTAAAAATTAATAAATTAATCACCTCCTTTGGGTGTTGGTCTAATTTTTGACCAAACATAGCGAATTAGATCACTAGACTTAGCTAATCCAGCCAATAGGATTAAAAAGTTTGCTCAGCAAGGCTTAAGTAAACGCATAACAAGTACAACACATTTTTTATTTAATAAAATACTCATTATACGAATGAAATCTTACTATATACAGTAACTAAAATGTTTGACCAACATTAAATTAAGCACCTCCTCTTAAAAATTATATACGAAATTCATGCATATATAAGGACCATCATAACAATTGAAGAATACTGGAAGGAATACATAGATATAAACACTAATTGAATCATATCAAAAACAAGGTAACAATTTAAAGTTGAGGCAGAAAAATGGGAGAAAGATGAAAATCAACTCAGAAACATGGATTGCTATAAAAGGAAGGAGCAGAAAGCCATTTTCTCTAGGTAAGTACTTTGTGTATTTATTTTTAAGCAAGAAAGAAAGAATGAGAGGTAGGAAAACATGATTAATTATTTATAGACGCCAAGAGTTATGTACTTATATGTATTTAAGATTAATTATTCTAGAACATAGGTTGTATCTTATTCTAATTATAAAAGAAGTTTCGAAATGATGTTTTCTAAAGTCATGTTATAACTATATGAAGTCTCTTCTGTGGTCTAATGAGGACTACTAAGGATTTATTCGATTAGGTTTAAGATCTTGATATTGAAGTAGGTCTTCTGTTTTCTTTGGGCGGAGGGGGGAGGTGGGTTGACCCTGAGTAGTGAGTATTACACACATTATCGACCTTTTTTAAAAAAAAATTGAGAAAACGTGTACGATTGGTAATAGTCTTTTTATTTTCATCAAAAGAGAGAGAGAGAGAGAGAAAAAAAAAAAAAAAAAAAAAAAAAAAAAAAAAAAAAAAAAAAAAAAAAAAAAACATATGTGATTTTAAGGATAGAAGGAACATATATGCCCAAGCTTATGTGTTGATGATCCATATGTGATTTTTTTTTTTATTGCCCTAAACTAGTTGCATTGAGTCAAATTTGTCTTAAGGTAGAGTTGACTAGGCTAGAACCGGGCCGGCCAACTTATGATATTTACTTTTAAATACCTTTAAAATTAGTGATTATATATAATCATAAACTTATTTTTCTACAAATTTTGTAATCTTGATGTAACATTGAAAGGAACTTGTAGGTTATTTAATCTTAAACGTACTTTTATATGTTCGGAATGATTCAATATAATTTCTTTGGCCACATCACTTGATCATCTAAGTTTAACAACCAACTTTTACTTATACTCGCATTTTTGACCGATCGAAAGAGAGCTGGATTGCTGGAATTATTATTCAAGTGTATGGTATTATCTTAATTTAATTGGAAGATAATACGCATGTACGGATTAGTTGTCCTACATATATATATATATATGGCAACATTGACAAATAAAAAAAAGGGGAAGATGACTAACTTTCGAAAGTCTTGGGTTAATCATCCTATTGTTAATTAAAAGTAGCCCTGATGGACTTGTATGTAGCATAAAAACACTATAATAGTCTAGAATATGATATACGTTTTCCTCCATTTTTTTTATATGTATTATTTTTATTATTCAAGGTCTCAATAAAAATGTTAAATTATTATATATATAGTGGTACACCTATGTATCATTAAAATGTATAACTACTTAATATTCTAAAATTTTACCTCTATATCCTAATAAATTTAAATCTTAAATGATTATATTTTTTCTTATAATACAATGAGAATACAAGGTTAAAGTTGATGTACTTTGAATCCAAGAAGAAAAATATAGCAAACAATTAAGAATAGTGGAAATTTCATGAAATACTTTGACTTGATCCAATGCAAGTCTTCAATGGTCAAACTTGTTACTTGTATGCCAATTGCCAAATGTCACAAACTTCCCCATGCCACCAATAAAATTAAAGTTGCTCACAAAAATTGTAGATTTACCCGATTTTCTTCCTCCCTTAGACATACTATGGTATTGCAATTGCCAAACCCTAAAAATGAGCCAACTGCTTGCCTTAATGAGTTTCTTCAACCTCTATAAACACACACACAATCAAGTACCTAATTACAGCTCAATAAACACAAGAAATTATGAAGTTATAGTCTATTTTAGACAACTATGAAGTTATTATATCGCCTTGTATCTCCGTTAAGAAGCTAAAACATGTGATGCACCATAGGTTTCTGTTAGTTGAGACGAACACTACAATAGGTGGGTGAATTGTATGTGAGTTCCTAGTGACTACTTTTGCAAAATTAAAACAGAATATAAAAGGAACTTAGCAAAGCACACAGGATTTTACGAGGAAACCTTACAGAGCCCAACTGGAATTAAAACCTCGACCCTCCAAGGAATTTTACACACCAAATCAATCCACTAAAATAGGCCAAAACAATCCTAGTTACAACCTATTATAATCCAGATCTTTCTCACAAGTTCCTAACTGAACCTGCTACTTGATAGGACCCTATCCTACCTACCCAACCTAAGTCCCTAACTTAGATTCATCTGGCACACCCTGAATGCTCACACTCTCAGCCTCAACCTTGAAGCCTACAATCTGTATGCAATATGCTTAACACTCACCCAAACCAAAACAATACAAACTCTTTGACTCTAATATGTGACTGGAAAGCTACACATGGAATCCGAAACTAATATGACAAAGTTTAGACTTGGCAAACTTACACTTTAGAGCTCTCTTCAGATTCTTCACGCATAAACTCGCAAAGTTGTGTAAAATATGAATTCTACTTTATGTACAAGAAGTACTCGTATGTAAAGTAGGGTTTTCAAAAGATAGAAATTATAAAATTACCATTTTCATAATAACACGTTATATGTAAATCTCTTAAGAAGAAAATCTTTTTAGAAAACTTATCAAAGATATAATTTATGAAAAGAATGTTATTTTGTAAAACCCGGATTTCATAGAATAAAATCTTTCAAAAAACTTTTCATAAATTAAAACTTATCTTTTATAAACTTTCCATTTTTAAAGCTTGCCAAGCTTTGTCACGCTTCTAATAAATTACATGCATAAACTTTCCTAACATATTTACAACAATATAATCCTTAGAAAAATAAACTTAACAAAAACTTATATTCTCTAGCTAGATTGTCTCATCAATCGCTACAAGTTAAGGATACTTGGGCTTCACGCAGACCAGGACTAAGTTCCTGTTGTCCTTCATTCTCCAGCTCCTTGCTGGAACTTCTTAGGCCAAGTTCTTATAGAACTTGTTGTCTTCGACGTAGACCAAGTCAATATTCTCAACTTGCTATCAAGCTCCTGTTAGGGAACTTCTCTTAGTGTTCCTGTTTGGGAACTCAGTTAGTTCCATTGAGGAACTCTTCTTCTATTTTTTAACTTTGCTTAGGATCTCCTTGAGTCTTCATAGTCAGGTTACTCTTCCACTTTCAAAGTCAACTTCACTTGTTCTAATCACAACACTTAGAGAAATCATTAGTTGAAGTTTGCTTTTATTCATCATCATCAAAACTCTTAAGCTTCAACAATTTTCGTTGGTAGCTATTAGTCTGTTATCTTTGTTTTATATTATTTACAACTTTTAATATCTTATATTTCACAAATAATACCCCAAATTTACAAAGTAAATGAAACGAAGGTAGAAAAATCTTAATACTAGTGTCTTGTATCTAGAAGTCGAGGCATTACACAAGACGTATAAGAAAATCCAATTATAAACCATTATTCTCAAGCTCATCCGGCCATGCATTGTCATGCAACAAAGATCTCATGCACATGTACATGCATGTCACATTTCATTATTTAATACTTATGATATACTGCAGGTAACTAGCTAAGAGCCAAGTACAACCATCTTTAGTCTTTGGATTTGGTTGTTGAGATATATAGACAAGATGAATAATGGAGTTGATGAGGCAACAATGTCGGCTTCAGATGCAACACAGTGGAATGAAAATGAAAGCAAGAAGGGAGAAAATAATGAGACTAGTAACAAAGTCCCTTTCTACAAACTCTTTGCTTTTGCCGATTCTACTGATAAGGTATTGATGACCGTTGGCTCAATTGGTGCTATTGCAAATGGTGTAGCTATGCCCTTGATGGCTATCCTTGTTGGTGACTTAGTTGATGCTTTTGGCCAAAATCAGAATACCAAGGATGTCATCCATGTTGTATCCAAGGTAATGTTATTGTTCAATATGATTGAAATTATTGATTGTCAAATTTTCCTAATTTCTCATAATCATTTATAAGGGAAAGGGATGTTTCAACTACGAAGGAGTGTGTACAATATTAGGGAATGTGAAACCTCCATTTGAACATCATTAGTATTAGTAAATACTAATTAGTTAGATACATCTTACGGGTGTTTGGTTTACAAGTTAAAAGTATGAGGCATATGTTTAAATAGAATAAATGAAACTCATATCATGTGTCTGATCGATAAATTTATGATTTTAAAATATGATCCTATTCAAACCTCCAATATAAAGGGCTCATAAACATGTGTTTGGGTTGGAAAAATTTGTCTCATTCCAATATTTAACCCTCCAAAAAAACATCAATCAAATCAGGCACATGATATTAAGAATCAAGTTCAAGAACAATGCAATCTTAGTTTCACTCAAAACTTCAAGAACATACATATCATTCTATGATCTAACCAAACACCTTAGTTACACAATATATTACGAAATTTAATGAATAGTTGTGTTCACACCATATATAAACAAAATTAATCGAACGGTATAAAAACAAAATTAATTGAACGGTAGTTTGCACATTTCAAATCTTCAGCACTCTCACCATTAACTTTTGCAGGTATCTTTGAATTTTGCTTACTTGGCCGTTGGAGCTTTAGTTGCTGCATTTCTTCGTAAGCTTATTAAGCTCTTTATCTTATTATTTGTTGTTAATTTATATTCTTTTTATTATATTAAAGTCAGCAGCTATAATGCCTTAGATTGTTGGAAAAATCTTCTAGGATGAACCTTCATACGTTCGAGAGTAATCTAAAATTAAACTAGGCTATGTATCATTGATAGTTAAAGAACTACTTTTAAGTATACGCGTAACACGTTTGCTAATGCACATCTTTAACTTTGGCAGAAGTAGCTTGTTGGATGGTTACTGGAGAAAGACAAGCAGCCAGAATGAGGAATTTGTACTTAAAAACTATACTCAGACAAGACATTGCCTTCTTTGACAAAGAAATTACTACCGGAGAAGTAATTGGTAGGATGTCTGGCGACACAGTTCTGATACAAGACGCCATTGGGGAAAAGGTAACCTATATAGCTCTTATCTTATTTGTTAGGGTTGGTGAGTGTGTACAGCAGAAGCAAATGGAATAGGATAAGATTGAGAAAATAATTAGGAGAAAGATAAAGGCAAGACAAATAGTAAAAAAATGATCACACAATATTTAACATGGGAAAAATATCGAAAAAAACCAAGAACGACGAGCAAGGATGAGTAATATCGAAAAATAGTACTCACCCCTTCAAGGATAGTACAAGAACCCTTGAAAGGATGAGTACTAGAAGCAAACTCTTACTATAGGAACTCACGAAAGAGTAATACAAAAGGAAATAGTGGATTCGTACAGAGAAGGTGTATTGTATACAAGGAGGGTAGAAAGGCTTATGTATGAGTACGGCTTCTAGTGTGTATGTTGATTGAATGTCCATGACCTATATTATAGTTGAAGATGTAGCTTGGAAAAAATGGTGGTAAGATTCCAGAAATTCCTCTATCATTCTTGTAGCCATAATATTCTAGAACATTTAGGAATCATGTGTTGTAGTTGCTTCCGATGTTAATAATTTTCTATAATGTTCAAGTAAATAATTCTAGAGAAAATATGAGCAAGAACTAACCTTGTATGATTTTCTCGAAAACTTCTAGAATATGCATAAATACTCCATTAAAATAGTGGGCCTAAAAATTTGGGCCACACCAAACATTATTATCATCGATGATATGATTCTTGTAACAAGATGCTAAACTACTGTATTGAAATGATTAATATTATGGTTTATTCATCTATTTTAAGGTAGGGCAATTTATACAACTGATAGCAACATTCTTTGGAGGTTTTGTGGTTGCATTCATCAAAGGATGGCTTCTTACTCTTGTTATGCTGTCGGTAATACCATTTCTTGCAAGTGCGGGTGCATTCATGACCATAATATTCTCAAAAATGGCTACAAAGGGGCAAACTGCTTATGCAAAGGCCGCGATTGTTGTAGAGCAAACTATAGGCTCAATAAGAACTGTGAGTTCGATTTTAACTAACTTCTTCATGAAATTTTGTGAATTTGTATGTTAGTCTTTTTGTATACATTTATTTAGTTATATTATACTCTTTACATTTGAACGAAATTTCTTCTTTAGGTGGCCTCATAAATTTGAACATAATTTCTTCTTTAGGTGGCCTCATTTACAGGAGAGAAACAAGCTATTGAAAAATTCAATAAAGCAATTGCAAGTGCCTATACTTCAGGTATACAAGAAGGCGTTATTACAGGGATAGGACTAGGTGTCTTGACGTTTGTAATCTTTAGCAGTTATGCCTTAGCCATTTGGTTCGGCTCAAGGAGGATTCTCCATGGAGATTACACTGGTGGCGACGTCATTAATGTCATTGTCGGCGTCATTATTGGTTCTATGTAAGTCCACAATTTTGGTCTTAGCAGTCTTCTCATGCACCGGGACATATATTGTAATCACATTTATCTTAGCATTTTTTGTATGATTTTCGTTCTTTGATAAAAATGTATTATATTTGAAATTGATGCAGGTCACTGGGGCAAGCATCTCCCAACATGACAGCGTTTGCAGCAGGCCAGGCAGCAGCATACAAGATGTTCGAGACCATCACTCGAAAGCCAGATATTGACCCTTTTGATCCCAATGGGAAAGTACTAGATGACATTCATGGAGATACAGAGTTTAAAGATGTTCATTTTAGTTACCCAACAAGACCTGACGAGAAAATATTTAATGGATTTTCTCTCAGTATCTCAAGTGGCACAACAGCGGCTTTAGTTGGGCAAAGTGGGAGTGGTAAATCGACAGTGATCAGTCTTATAGAGAGATTTTATGATCCACAAGCAGGTGAAGTTTTGATTGATGGAATTAACATAAAAGAATATCAGCTAAGATGGATTAGGCAAAAAATTGGCTTAGTTAGTCAAGAGCCTGTGTTGTTTGGTTCGTCCATCAAAGAGAACATTGCATATGGGAAAGATGGTGCCACAATTGAAGAAATAAGAGCAGCAACAGAGCTTGCAAATGCTGCTAAGTTTATCGATAAATTACCACAGGTTTGATCTTCAAGTTTCTTTAAGTCCTTTTACATTTCAATTAAACTTGTATGGATTAGGCAAATGTTGATTATAGTCATGATCTTAATATATATAAATAAATGAAATTAAACTTGTAGGGACTGGAAACATTGGTTGGTGAACATGGAACACAACTGTCAGGAGGGCAGAAACAAAGGGTAGCCATAGCAAGGGCCATTCTGAAAGATCCGCGGATTTTACTTTTGGATGAAGCTACAAGTGCACTTGATGCAGAATCAGAGAGGATTGTGCAGGAAGCATTAGATAGGATTATGGTAAATCGAACGACTATTATCGTAGCCCATCGTTTGAGTACAGTAAGAAATGCTGATACGATTGTTGTCATTCATCAAGGAAAAGTGGTTGAAAAAGGCAAGCTTCTACCTTATGTTCAATACAAAATTTTGTAAGTGATTTCAATTTTTTGTTTGTCTTTTATTAATTATCTTGACAGTTTGCTTGCTTTGTTGCGCAATTCAGGTATGCACTCTGAATTACTCAACAATCCTGAGGGAGCGTACTCTCAACTAATACGCTTACAAGATATGAAAAAAGAGTCGGAACAAGCAACTGATGCAAGAGAAATGTGGAGTCAATCTAGTCAAAGAAGATCATCATTAAGATCTTTAAGCCAAGGATCCTCAGGGAGGATTAGTAGTGCTCACGACGACTCTTTCACAGCAGTGTCTGGACTAACAGCAGACCCCGAAGCAAACATTGTAACTTCATCACCTGTTGTAAAGCAATCAGAAGTTTCTATAAAGCGTTTGGCCTCGCTCAACAAGCCTGAAATCCCAGTACTTGTATTGGGATGTCTATCTGCAATTGCTAGCGGCGCAGTATTTCCAGTGTTCAGCATAATATTCGCTAGTGCGATTGAAATGTTTTACAAGCCACATGATATCTTGAGAAAGGACTCAAGGTTTTGGGCCCTTATGTTCGTAGTAATTGGCTTAGGAGCACTGATATCATATCCTGCTAGAACTTATTTCTTTGCCGTAGCTGGTTGTAAGTTGATACGAAGGATAAGAACATTATGCTTCGAGAGAGTAGTGCACATGGAAATTGGTTGGTTTGATGAGGCTGAGAATTCAAGTGGTGCCATAGGTGCAAGGCTATCAGCTGATGCTGCAACTGTGCGCTCTTTAGTTGGAGACGCGTTGGGCTTGCTTGTTCAAAATATTTCCTCTGCTTTAACGGGTTTGCTAATCGCTTTCCTTTCAAACTGGATTCTATCATTGATTGTCCTTTTCTTAATCCCTCTCATTGGACTCAGTGGTTATCTCCAAGTAAAGTTTATGCAGGGATTTAGTGCTGATGCTAAGGTCCTCTCTTCTTTCTTTCTCTGTTAGCATATAATTTTTAACTCAATAAGATATAAATTGTTGAGAATTAGAATACTTATCATTGTTTTTTCTTTTGTTTATTCTACAGAAAAAGTATGAGGAGGCTAGCCAAGTTGCTAATGACGCAGTTGGGAGTATTAGAACAGTTGCATCTTTCTGTGCAGAGGAGAAGATAATTCGATTATATGAAAAGAAATGTGAAGCCCCTATAAAAGCTGGTATAAAGCGAGGATTGATTAGTGGGGCGGGTTTTGGGTTAGCCTTTGCTTTCCTATTTGGTGTATATGGCATTTGTTTTTACGCGGGAGCACAACTTGTTGGCCATGGAAAAACAACATTTCCTGATGTTTTCAGAGTAAGTACACATCTCTTCTCTAATCATCAACTCCTTTGCTTGCAAAATATAGTCATGCAAACATTTCATGTAATATATTTAGTTTACATGTCTGACAAATCTTATACTACTGCAGGTTTTCTTTGCACTTGCAATGGCAGCAGTAGGAATATCGCAAACAAGCTCTTTGGCTCCGGATACCAGCAAAGCCAAGAGTGCCACAGCTTCTGTATTCGCGATTCTTGATCGCAAGTCTAAGATAAACTCAAGTGATGAATCAGGGATGATAATTGATCATGTCAAGGGTGAAATTCAACTTCGACATGTGAGCTTTACTTATCCAACTAGGCCTGAAGTTCAGATTTTTCAAGACCTGTGCCTGACAATTCATGCAGGAAAGGTATACTTCTTACTACAGATTTTTTTTGTTTGAAAACAAATGCAACTTAAAATCATACAAAACAAAATGTTTTGTAAAATTTTTAATCAAATTTATATCATCGATTTTGTAGACAGTAGCTATTGTTGGAGAAAGTGGCAGCGGAAAATCAACTGTCATTTCCCTGTTGCAAAGATTCTATGATCATGATTCTGGTTCTATTACATTAGACGAGATTAAAATTCAAAAGCTTCGATTAAAGTGGTTAAGACAACAAATGGGCCTCGTAAGCCAAGAACCTGTTCTGTTTAATGAAACGATAAGACTTAACATTGCATATGGAAATGGAGGCAATGCAACTGAGGATGAAATTATAACAGCTGCTAAGCTAGCAAATGCTCACGATTTCATCAGTAGTTTGCAACAGGTATTGGTTTTGTCTGTTACAATATAATATTTAGTAGACCAAGATTATGTTTATTTGTACAAAAATTAGGATCTTATATGAAATTTATGTTGTAGGGCTATGATACTGTTGTGGGTGAAAGAGGAGTACAACTTTCTGGAGGCCAAAAGCAACGAGTTGCGATTGCACGTGCCATAGTGAAGAATCCCAGAATACTACTATTGGATGAAGCTACAAGCGCGCTTGATGCTGAATCAGAGAGGGTAGTGCAAGATGCATTAGATCAAGTCATGGTGAACCGTACTACTATTGTTGTTGCTCATAGATTGTCCACCATAAAGAATGCTGACGCGATTGCAGTGATTAAAAATGGTGTAGTTGCAGAGAAAGGGAAGCATGAAAATCTGATTCGTATTAAGGATGGAATTTATGCTTCCTTGGTTGCACTTCATATAAGCGCTGCTTCCTAGTCTTCTAGGAGAAAAAAAAAATTGTACATAATTTGTATACAATCAAACTAAGTTGAAAGACAATATATATGTTGAAACGTTGAACAAGCTAGATGGTGTTGAGTGGCATTCTCTTCATCTAGATACTATATAGTGTTAATTTATCATTAACAGAAGTTGAATAGTCGATATACATGTCATTATTTTAATAAAAGAAAAAAATTTCATATGAACAATTTTTGAAAGCGGCATATCCCGATCTACATGTGTAATTACTCCCTCAGTCCCTTTTTATTTGCACCATGGACCTACTTTTTGTGAGAACTTTTTGGGCAAATGGTGCAAACAAAAAGGGACAAAGGGAGTATTACTTTATTAAACCTTATGCTTAATATAATGTAACGTTGTTTTAGTTAATTATACCAAAAGCCGAGATAAAATAACCAAATTCCCATCACTCTACAAAACCTTTAAACGTATCCATAAGCCAATATTGATACAACCCTATCTAATATATAGATACAAGCTTAACAGGAGAAAAAAGGGTTGACCCTTCGTTTGTACTAGAAAGAGGAACCAAGAACATGCACAACATGGAATATAACACCACTTTTGGCTCCATCAAACTAAAACAAAAAAAGGCATAAAAAATAAAAAAAATAAAAAATAAAAAGTTACTAGTCTACCAAAGCTGTTCTCTTCTATCACGCCACCATCTCCACCTGAAAAGAATTGAAAGTTGTTTTGTTACCATAAAGTTTATGAAAAATAAATGAAAGGGGAAAAAGAAAAATTTAAATTATAAAAGCCAATGAAATATTAAACAAATTCTTACCTATATATGGTCAAAAGAAATCTGTAAGTGGTTAAAAAAAAAAAAAAAAAAAAAAAGAAAAGAAAAAAAACGAGGTATATATGATTCAGGGAAAGTCACCCTTTGTGTATAAGTTTATGTCTTAAGACGACATTTTGAAAGTAAGATAAATAAACAAAAAATCATTGTGAGAATAACTCACCAGTAGAAGTCCCATCTGGGTCGGACTTTGGTCATACGGTTATGGCCATACGGGTAATCAGTTTCGGCCCGACGAGTGTTTTGGAATGCACAACAACCAATGGAGTATATGCCAATGAGCAAGATAAGCATAACTACATTGAGGACAGACAATTTGTGCCAATCCCTCCTTATTGACTCGAGTACTCCAGCCTTGCAAGAATCACACTCGTAGCATAGCAAATTCGGGTCGTTGTTCCATTTGTAGCAATCCGGATCTTGTACCATCATAACCGGATCTTGCCCGTATGTACATGATGTTGGTGGCTTACAGCATCCCGACTGTATATACATTTCCTTTTATCAAATTAGTAGTCGCATAAACTATTTTAGAATATATTAAAAAGATTGTCACTTTTCTTATCGTAAAACAAATGGTTTATGATTTAATTTTTCTGTTAGAATTATTTTATACGAAGTGCTCGATTGAAGAGATGATATAATATCACTTACACAACTAACAAATTCAAATAATAGACATATGACATAACTTCAAAGATCGAAGATAGAAACAATAAAACAACTAATTATGAATTGCAAAATTATGTTTTCTATCCTAAACCTTTTATTATTTTGTATGAGGATGCAATACATACAAAATTATTATTTATTCAAGAATTAGCTTGTCATTCAAAATTAAAGTTTCGTTCTTTAATCTTTCTTTGATCAGTAACTTTTCGTACGAGTTAGTTCTCTTAAGCCATCTAATTTCCTAATTAAAGATTTATAAAGTAAAAACTTTTAAGAAAAAAAAAAGTAGGATTATGATATATCATAGATAAAATATCTTATGCAAATTGCAACAAGAGCAAGATGAATATTTATTTAAAAAGTAAAAGGATGGACCATGCAAAAGAAATTAAGAATTTTTTTTTTTTGACAAGGAAATTAAGAATTAATTCCCTCTAAACCACTATAATCTGATCTTTCCTTTTCATCAACTTACAATGACGAGCAAAAAAGAAATTCTCCCTATCTTTTTTCCTATTCGAACATTGTTTTCAAAGGGGACAACAAAGCTGCTTCGCTTATCTTACTACTAGAAAAGGAGATATTTGATGAAGATTAGTTTGGATAATTAGTAAACTTATGGAATTAATTTGTAAGAAAGATGATTCTATGAATATTACTAATTTTAATTTGTTTGGATTTTTAGTGAGCAAAAAAGTATGTATTTGCAATTTTGCATGGTATTCCACTGCTTAAATTTTTTTTTTTTTTTGGGAGGTAAACATTGCTTGGTAAATAATATTATAAAATTTAATGTAATTTTTTAATAAAGTTTTTTTTTTTTTTAAATTTCTGGCTTTCTACATATTTTTCTTCAACTTTGAATATAAGAAAATGGATTAATTGAACAAAGTATAATTAAATTTTTTGGGTGCTCCAACTTCCAATATTGTATGTCTTTTTAATCTTTAATATAATATGCAAATATGTCAAAAAGAATTATACATGTATTTCTACCATTTATACTTAGTCTACCTCATCAATACGGCCTAATTTTTAAACATGCATTTAAACAATAAGATTTTTTACTTATAACGACTTTTGGTGATATATATTTAAGATAAAATATAGTTATGTGAGATTTTGATAAACTCTTATTAGTGTATATTCTAAATTCTTTAGTTCTTACAGTAGTTATTAGTTGTGGACAATGAAGATATTAACATTTAAATCTATTTAACAAGCATATAAAAGTAAAAATGTTGCAATTAAATTAATACGACGGAGGAGACACCAAACAAAAAGTAAGGAAAAACGAAAAGGATAAGAGGGAGTACCTGGACAGGAGTCATATCATTCCTAAGATAATCAACAGGAGTCCAAGTAGCAACCTTAGCACAAGTCTTAGATCCAAAAATACAACCCCTAATATTATTCCAATACTTAGGGTCTTTAACCCTAGCCCTTAACCAAGGGGAGTAATCTTGTAGGTGATACTCTCTGTAAACCCTCCCTGGAATTTGAGTACCACCCCCTTGGCTTGTAACCACGAAACTGAACACGGTTATGACCATCAAAACAATGATGAGTAGCAACATGACCACTAGGTACACCCACAGAGCCCATGCTACGTAAAAACATGCACCAATGAACCCTGCTAGGGATATGATGAGGACAATGAAGCCGATTACAAGAAGCGGAGTTTGGAGGAAATTCTCACATGTTGTACTATCCTTTGCCATGTAAAGCCCTGCACCAATGATGGGTATTGATGCTAGGAGAGAAAATAGGTTTAGGAAACCTATTACTGTGTTACTCAACCTACGCATGATTTTTCTTAGTGCCTTATTACCACCTACTAGACATTTGTATCAGCTGGTAAGAGAGTTGTTTCGATTTATACTAGGTTTCGAGTTGGTGCTTTGAGATTGTAACAACGTTAGCAAAGGATTTTTGTTAGGTGATGATGAATTAGTATTATTGAAGAGTTATATGCTATGGGTGTCTCTTTAGAGTTGATGGGGTTGTTGTACACTTGTAGGTGCTTATTGGGATTGCTTTAATTTGTGCTTATATATTAAGCTCTAGTAGTGTGATAATGGAAGTATGGAGTATATTTTATATGGTCCAATATGCTGTAAAAAGAAAGGACGCAGGAAAAGAAAGGCAAATGAATCTCCACTTAGCTTGATTGTTATTGCTTTTTTATGAGTAGGGAATCAAGGTGACTTTTTATATGTGCAATAATGTTCTTACCCTTTGACTAAATCAACCCTCAGCTACTAAGTTACTACTTGTTATATTATAGGCATGATTTTGTTAAATTTCCTTCGTTAAGTATTCCCTTTTCTCCCTTAAATTAAGATAATGGGGAAGTTAGTGAAAAGAGGGTCATTTTATACTTTTTAAGTAGGAAAAGAGTTTATTTATGTAATTAATAGAGTAAGAATGTATAAAGAAAGTTTTCCTTGTAATAATAGACTTAAACAAGAAGTGGGAAAGGAACTAAGGAAGTACGTATCTAATAATATCATATGCATAATACGGAGTTTCAAGTATGCTATAGCTTCTTTATTATGTGTATATATTTCACTTTTATTTTTACATTGATTAGTTAAGAATAACACTTAATAATATTTAGTGAAAGTACAACTTTAGTTGTTTTGTTCCTTCTATTGTAATAATAAAAGTAAGAAAAAGATGTATGTGTTTGAATTTAGAGTATATTACAAATAATCTAAAGAAGTTCACACATTGTTATCATCATTCACACACATTGAAATAATGAAATTTGATCTTTTAAAATTATTTTCTTTGTTCTTATTTGCTTGACACACTCCTTATAAATGTATCCTTATTTAATTAATATATATAACTACAAATTATGAGGACTTAATTTATTATTATTTTTATTTCTAACACCTCACTTTGTCATTTCCATTAACTACAATAATAATATTTTATAGAACGAGGCAATACTCAAGGATTTAAAAGAGGGATCAATTAATCTAGAAATATCATGATCGAGTAGAGCTTTATTGCTTTATGAACTTTAGAATTATGAACAAAACCTTGATCCACTAGTACTCACCAACTAATAATCTCTCTTCCTAAAGAAATTAAAAGATGCCCTTTCTCATATCTTCCTTATCTTCTGCCGTATTTTTTATGCTTTGCTTGATTCTCTTTAAGGCTCCACTAACTTTAATATTTTACTATTGTATTCAATTCACGACTCATATTTCCTGTAGTTGGTGATTGGTATCGATGCTCTTCGAAAAGAATAAATGTCGAGAATTTAGAATGGCTTTCGTATGCTTTGCATTGTCTAGTCATTTTTCATGTAGACAATTATATTTGCGTGACATTATTAACATTTTAGTATAGTATGCATGGATGGTAGTGACATGCCTCTAGTGGATTATATTCCTAGCTAAGGAGATTTGTAATCCCAATATTCTAGATATTTCCGTCTTGATTAAAGAGAACAAGATAATACAAAATCAATCTTTATTTAGTTTTGACAGTGTTCCATTTGTTTCAAGTTAAATGGACACATTTGTTTCAGGTTAAATGGACTCAGGTTTATGTAAATAAGGTTATAAGTGAAAATAGGGTTATTTTTAATAAAAGAAAAAAGGAGAGTCACCATTTCAGTGTTTCAGGAATTCGGGTTACTATTAAGAATTTCTCAACTATATGTTGGTGTAAAGAAAGGAATCCAAAATAGTCAATCCCGGACGCCTGATCGGGCGAGCCCCGCCTGATCGGGCCCGAGAGCAGCATTTCAAATTGGCTGATTCATGTCCGACCGAGCGCAAGAAGAGTTGTAAAATTCTTGAGTTCCGTCGCCCAATCGGGCGCGAGAGAGCTTAGAATTTGAAGGGAACTCGCCCGACCAGGCGCGAGAGCAACCAGTCTTTTGGTTGATGCTTGCCCGACCGAGCGCGAGTTCGGACTCTTGGTTTCCTTCCTTGGATTCTCTTGTTCTTTACTCTTCCTTTGTAACCCCTCACTTAAGAGGTGGTTTTATGTTGATTAAAACCATCTCTAATTGCTTATTAAGTTTCACTTTTCCATCTTCTTGTGATCTTTTAACTTCCCTCTTGCTTCTCTATATATATTGAAGTCAGATTTTCTGAAAAAAGATATACACATATCCATACACATAAGCTAAACACAAGAGCAAAACACTTTTGTAAGCTAAACACGATCTTCCTTCTTTGGGCATAAATTTGCATAGGCTCCACCTCTCATTCTAAAGTGTCTTAGCGTGAAAGTGGTGTGTAACCTTAGGGAACGATCCGGTGGATACAATTGAGCACCCCGGTTGCACCAGAATTCGTTTTCAAAGGCAGTGACTTTTTCACGCCACTCCGAATTTCTTCCTCTATTTTATTTGTTCATCTTTGCTATTGGTAGACACCTTATTTTAACAACACTATAAAAGGTGAAAAAAATAGGGAAAAAATAAAATAAAATTGATCAAAAGTTACACATAGCCAATATTAAATTAGAGTCCCTTACATATACTCAAAAACATGGTTAAGTGTGGCAGTCTATATATGTATAGGTCCACTTGTACTTAGTTTGCATTAACTTCAATTCATTTATATGTCGATGTTGGTTTGAAGACCTAAATCTGTCATTGACCAATTTGACAGCCTCTTTGACTACTTTAGTACTTCTAGCCTTTTGGGAAAAATTACTTCATTGTCTAACCTTCTATTGCCTAAATGAAGCAGTTTGTAGTTATTCCCTCTTTGATTCTTCATGATTTCAATCATATAACTCTATAAAGTGATCCATGTGTACTTGTTCACGGTAGGATAGATCAAATGAATTGCATGCCTTTTAACTTTCTCAATTATTTAATTCTGATTCTTTGGAAAAGATTGAACTGAATTAATTTAAAAGTTCTAAATAACCCTAAATCTAAACATTAAATTAGGGGGATTGAGGGAGCTGGTATACCATATTGATGTTAAACCCATTCAGAGTTGCCACTGCAACAATTCCTCATCAGTTGGGATTGTATATGGCCTTGCATTATCCCACTGAATGATTGTATCCATGTTTGGTGGTCACTTTTCATTGATTACAGGTGTAACCTTGTTGATTAGCATGTCTCTGATGGCTTCTTAGTTATATTCTCCAGTGTTTTTGTTTCTAGAGTTTCTACTTTTCTATTCTTGCTTGTTTTCTTTGTTTTGTGAAAAACTAATGGGAAGATATCATAATTGCCATGATAAATCATAAGGCCATTACTATCATGTAATGGCATTGATATGATGTCCATAAACATAGCGGTGATCATGAATCTTTTAGGTTGTTGGCACCTATAGGGATCATCTTCTTTAGAAAGAAGGTAAAACCTTCTTGTCTCATGGTTCAAATACTACCTCTCTTTTATATTAATTGCAACAAAGGGGTAATATTTTTGAGATATAAACAATCTCTTTGTTGCAATTAATATAAAATGAGGGTAATAGAACCATTTTTCATCAATATGGATAACATTGTTCATGTGAGCAAAAGTTGGGTGTGATGTTGGTGTGGTAGGTGCAATATGGGCCAACACCCATTGCAGCCTTGCAACCTTGTAATTTTTCTTCTGTGAACACCATACTGAGTTGCTAATTGTGTTTGTGTTCTCGAGGTAAACAATCATCCCTTAGTAAATAAAGATAACATATGATCAACTATCAACCTTTTTTCTTCAAATTTTAGCTGCCTTATGTCTATTGCGTGTTGATCCTCTTCTGTAATGTAATCTGACTACAATAGCTCTTCCTCCGTTAACAATAGTTCCACACTGAAAAAATCATCAACATTTACTTCATCCATTGTTGCTTTTTTATATAAACAAATGAGTGCAGTAAAGGCAAAGCAGAGATAAAAAGAAGACGGAGATTGTTATTGGATGCAATTTGCAAACTTGGCTGTTCGTGGTGTTGTAGCTGATTAATCAAAGCTGCTAATTTTTATTTGTTTTTTCGTTAAACCGCTGAAATTAATTGTAAAAATTTGGTAGTCAGTAATAATAGTGGTTGTAATTTATGGAGAGAGAAACTCTCCTTTGAATGTTTTTTCATTAAACCTGCCCAATTTGTAATCACTGCTTTTCAATACCTACTAAGGTTTATATTAATATATGGATCACTTAATTCTCATTTAGGGGTTACATGTAATATTAGACAATTGTCATTTTATTCCAATAAAGTACTCAAAATTACATATACAACACATATATACTCCATTTCCATTTAAAACATTTCATTTGTAGAGAGAAAAACATTAACCATAATTGTTCATCAATACATTTAAGAAAAGCATACTTCTTAAATTCATTGTGGTATACAGTTACATAATTTTTAACTTATATTATTTTCAAATTAAGTATATAATTAATAGGAAAAATTGTGACAAAGGTCATTTTTAAAGTGACTCTCTTGTCACAAAGGTCCTTATAAAAAAACGATGGCGCTAAAGGTCCTTATAAGTGAGTTTGGTTGTGCAAAGGGGCCTTTGACCCAATTCCGGCCAAATTCCGGCATTGACTTTTGAATTCAGGCCAAAAAAAATCACGTGCAACTTTTTAAAAAATTTTTTTTCTTTTTTCTCCTTTTCTTCTTCTACTACGAAGCAAACCCTGTTCTTCTACTACTTCCCAAATTTTCACCTTTGTTCCATTCTTGTTAATTCACCACAGTTAATTGCTGACAGGAAGCAAGCAACCATTAATGGCGAATGGCGAAGTGCAATTGAGTTGATGCAGATGCAGTAGGCTGGGAAGGTTGAGTTGATGTCTGAGACAGAGGTGGAGCTTGTGACAGTGCCTGTGATTGTGGCTGTCATTAATGGCAGAATTGTTTAATCTCCACCTCAATTGCACTTCGCCATTAATGGTTGCTTGCTTCCTGTCAGCAATTAACTGTGGTGAATGAACAGGAATGGAACAAAGGTGAAATTTTGGGAAGTAGTAGAAGAACAGGGCTTGCTTCGTAGTAGAAGAAGGAAAGGAGAAAAAAGAAAAAGAAAAAAAAATTTAAAAAGTCACGTGCAACGCACGTGATTTTTTTTGGCCTGAACTCAAAAGTCAATCTCGGAATTTGGCCGGAATTGGTTCAAAGGCCCCTCTGCACAACCAAACTCACTTATAAGGACCTTTAGTGCCACCTTTTTTTTATAAGGACCTTTGTGACAATAGAGTCACTTTAAAAGGACCTTTGTCACAATTTTTCCTATTAATTATATACTTAATTTGAAAATAATATAAGTTAAAAAAAAAAAATTAAAAATGCACTAAAAACTAATTAATAATAGCCAAATGAGTCAAACATTAAAAAAAAAAATAAAGAAAGAAAGAAAAAAAGGGAGAATATGATACAAAACTACGATACACATTCAATATGATGTTTTTTTTCCATTCATTAAGAAGAGTAATATTAACACAAAACATCAACCCTCATCACAGTTTTATTACTTTTCCTAACCTTATTTAGCTGTTCAAATTTCCTTGGCTTTTCATCCATATAAACACCTTATAAGTCAAGGCAGTCTTCATTATCAAACTTGAAATCTCTAATCGATAACCAACACCAAGATAGAAGTTCGTCACGTACAGATTCGTATCATCTATTTTTTTTTTTTTTTTTTTTTTTTATAATGGTAAGAACCCTAACATTCCTCAATCCTTACGGTAGGTCTTAGAGAAATGCAATTATATACACGACCCACCTTTGGAGCATATATCCCAACTCCTACAATTCACAGAGAGATTTAAGGAATACCGAGAATCCAAGATCGCGCACTTTGAGCTTGCTATAAGTCCACCATAGAAGATAATGAGTTCAAGTCCAGAAGTGGCTCCACTTCATTCCAGCAATCCAAGGTAGCTTGAAAATCTGTCCTTCCACATTATACCGTAATATACCTGGTATAATTATCTTTCACTTAATCTTTGATGATGACACGTCCCATGTGTGTGTATGTATAAGCTACATGATTCGTCAATCACACTTGAAAATGTAGGTTTGATATATGTTCTTCCTCTTGAACTTATCAAGTAGGTTTACTGAAATCCAGAATGCACTGGTTCATTCCACAGTGCTTTTCTTATAATTTACCATGTATATAGCTACCAATGTTACAAAGGCCCCAACAAGTTGCACATTCGAGAAGCTCTCACCTAAATACAAAAACCTGAATAGAAAACAAGTCACAATTTACAGCACAAGACATCTCATGAAGGCAAGACAGTTGAATGGATATAAACTTACCCGAAAACAGAAGCAAACATTGGAGTCAGAAAAGTGAGAGAGCTAAGCTTTGTCAGACTACCTGCAATAAAAACTACCCAAGTTAACATGGATTGTACAGCAATCGCTTGTTTCAAAGAGGCAATAGCATCAATTAACCCCAAGACAATATGTTGCAGTAATTAGTAAAACAATACAACTGATGTTAAGATTATAGGACCTCTAGTCGCATTATAGAAAAATACACCATAGCTGACAGCGCTCCCGAAGATGGATGTATAAAACAGTGCTGAAAAGTCACTAGCAGAGAGCTCATTAAGACTCCCATTGAATGCAGGATCATTATTAAGTATCGATAAAGCTACCAGAGGAAGGCCACCAAGTAACATGTGCTGTGACAAAAATTGAATCTCAGTGTCAGATTGAAACATCAAATGACACGAACAATTGAAGCAAGTAAATACAGGGCCTTAATTAATTTCTATTTCTGTTCTCATTTTAAATAGCAGAGGCACCAAAACACAAATGAGCAGAAGTGTGACAGCATCCTGTGCAAATACAATTTGAATAATATCTTCATATGATGTGAATAATGTCTAGAATTCAAGATGATGTAGATCCAATCCCAAAATGACAAGGCCAACAATTTTTTCTAGTTGTTAAAAAAAAGGGAAATTCTCAATGGTGGTCTTAAGTTTTTTAATTCTCTTTAGTAAACAGCAAAATTTTCAATAATCTTTGGTAATCAACTATTACTATTATTAATGCAATGGTGACATTAGTTAATCAATTTAATCATTTATTAACCATGGTTAGTTTTTTTGTATTTTTTTAATAATTAAATTATTTAAAAAATAATTTTAATTGGTTTTTTTAAAATAATTTTTTAAAAAATAAATAAATAAATAAAAACCTTTCCCCTTTCCTCCCTTACCGGAGCCACCCTCCCTCTACCAGCGGCACACCGGGATCAGCCACCCTCCCCTGCCAAAACCAGCCGCTGTCCCCTCTTCCCCGATTCCCTCCCCTGCCAGACATGGCAACCGACCTCCCCCCTTCCCCGATTTTTGGTTGAAATTTATAGGGTTTTTGGGGGCGAAATTATCAGCTTTTGATTTGAAATTCCAGTCGTTATTTGCTCAATTCAGGGTATTTTAGGGGGTTTTGGGTCGATTTTTGCTCGAAAATGGGGGGTTTTGGCTCAAGGTTGCTCGAATATGGGGGGTTTTGGCTTAGATTTGCTGGAATTTCGGTTAGTGGTCAAATTTGTTGATTTTGGGGTCGAATTTGTTGGATTTGGGTCAAATTTGTCAGGGTTCTGCTGTTGAATTTGCTGGGGTTTTGCGGTTCGAATGGCAGCAAGGCAGTGCTGGAATTTCCAGCTAGTTGGTCGGAATCAGTTTTGCTGGGTGTCGCTGTCCAGAGGTGGGGAGGCTGGACGCCGACAGGGGGAGGAGGTGGCTGGATGGGTGGGGGGAGGAGGTTAGGTTTTATTTTTAAAATAATTTAATTATTAAAAAAATCTAACCCTAGTTAAATAATTTAACCTAAATAAATCATTAATGTTATAGACAATCTATACTAATATTACATGATTACCTAAGATAATTGGAATTTTTGTTGTTCACCATTGAGAAAAATAAAAAAACTAATGAGCACCAAAAAGAATTTCCTATAAAATTTTTAATAATTTAGAGCAAAGTGAATTACAGGTGAATCTATCGCCCTCAACCCAAACATAAGAAAAATTAGCCCAGAAATCATGCCCCCTTAAATTAGTCTCCAGATAATTTGTTCTCCATTAAAATCTACCCTCATGATTAACACTATATTCAGGCAAGCCAATAGAATTGAATCATGATTAGTTAGCAGTATGGTCTATGGTGTGATAAAATGATTAACTTGCAGATTGGGGTGACCATAATTGAGAATGGGATCCCATGTTGTCTCGTAACATGAGACCACCTAATAAAAAAATCTTCTTCATAGAAATAGCCCAAATAGGAAATTACCGCTATCATTTACATTCCAAATGAATATGTATAGACAGCACACTTCATAAGCTGAAATAACATGGGGAATATGAGAACTTAATTCCTAACAATAAAAAAACCATACAACTTTAATTCCTTAGGCCAAGTTTTATATAAAACTACACATGCAAAACTGTACATTCAAATAGGTTTATAAATGTTTTAGCAACAAAAGAAAATCATTCATCAGTGAAAGAATTCGAACTTAAGTTAATCAAAGCCATTGATCTTCTTGAATATTAAATTTCTAACTCAGCACACATTACCATTAAACAAGGACCAGATTACATTTTATGATGGAAAATGAAGCATGAATACAAGACATACCCATCCTGTTGCCATAATTGGGTCAGAAAACTTGGAAACCCAACGCACCATGACAGTTCCGATTGCCATGCTTTGTGCTGATAGAAGCATCCACCACTCACCACTCCCCCATAATGAAAAATCAGTCCCATCGATTGCAATTACAGGTAGCTGCAAAATAAATTGCAAACAAATCCACAATAATTAGCGAGTAGTAGATGAAATACCAAAATCATGCAAAATCTGATCTAGAGAGATTAGCAGTTTCCTACAACAGGTTGTTAAGGGATAATATGCAAATGCTAAACTTGTAGTTCCCTGTAAGCTATTAGTAGTTTCCTGAGGAAGCTGTTGATTCCAGAGACTACATGTGATTGTTTAAGGTTAATAATAATGATCTCTGTTAAAGTTTTCAAAGTCTATAAATGATTAATATTGTAGTTTCCTAAAGCAAGAGTAGTATTAGTAGTTGCTTAAGCCAGAAGACTAGTACGTAATAGTTATAACAATATTGTAGAGCAGCAGTAGCAAAGTAGCAATTACATACCAAGGCTAGCAGGTACGCCCTCCATCCCTATTTGTTTGCCCCGTATTTTATTTTCGGTCATATCAAAAAAATTTGCCCATTACCTTATATAGTAACGTGTCCCCACGATTTATCCCACTTGCATACACTCTTAAAAGTAAAATTAACAACTATAACCCATCCACTTGCAAAATGTTAGTCCAAGCCTTAAATAAAGCACACATTTGTCTATAAGCCAAACAAAAGGGGACAGTGGGAATAGTGGCAATTTCATTTATCCCAATAACGCCCTCACTCAGACAAGGCCGTCATAATCCTCTAGATTAAACCCCCTGTTCCCAACCATCCAATTTACAAAATCATTCCAGGCACACCCTAAGGAAGATCCTACATAAAGGAATGGGCAAACCAGGCCAAACCAGAATCCAAATTTAACTCCAACTTTAAAGTTAGATAAAAAAGATTATAAGAAAAAAAAAAGAAAGAAACTGAATCTGATTTAAGAGAGGTCAAAAATCAAATTAGAAGCAGGTCATATTGATACCATGCAAAATTGCAAATGCCAGTATAGGACAAATCTTTAACCCATATCATAACCCCCATGCCCCTACCCTGTCATATCACCTTATCTTTCTCCATTCACCTACCCTATCTCTGTCTACACAAAGTATATGCAACACCATCATTCTCCACCCCATCAGATTTGCTTCTGTCAATGCTACTACCATCATCCTACTTAATTTTCATTCATTGATATCCCCTCTCACTCTCTAGTTTCTCACTAACTTCCTCTAGGTTACACAACGTTGACCGACTTTTGAGAAACACCTCTATTTTCATCAACACTCATAGTAGTTATCATGTCTTATATATAAAATATGCAAATAAACAAGAGAAACTACCACTACCTCCGCCTCCGCCTCCCTACCCCACCCTCAACCACAAAAAAAAAATTAAAAAAAAAAAAAAAAAGGTTTTTTTAAAAAAAGGCAAGCAAGAAACCAGCAATCAAAATGATAGAATCAGGTCATAAGTATTCTGTACTTGCCTGCTTGGAGTTGAATGTGTCATCCACTCATCCCTTGATACTTAGAAGCTATCCAATAATTAAATATGAGAGACGGCCTTGGAAACAAAATACACCATAACCAATGTAAAGTTGTAAACCATTGGTTCTTTTTTCATTACAGAAGCTACTTCGATGCCAAAAAAATTATTCATGGCTTCAAAGTGAGATGAACTGAAATAGAAAAAGGAAAGAAACAATGGATTCATGGGAACCACCTGTTATAGACTGGCAGTTGTAATAATTAATCTAAGGAGGATTGCCAATTAATAAGAGGAATGCTTAAGTATTTCATTGATTAAGGGAAGTTGGATAGCAATGACTTGAGGCCATCAATCTCACAAGTAGCTTGAGGCTACAACTCTCAATTACAACACACTCAATTTCTGGATAATTCTATCAGCTAAGTTTACTAACATACTTATACTCAAGACATCTAAGACTAAGGATAGATTCATGTGATCAATTAGCTAAAATGGCAAAACCATAATAAAACATTGTAGAAGCTTGTTGCTTGCTTTCCTCAAGTTCTCTTAATGAGTTTTGTCATCTTGCCCTTTGTTGTTTGTTGACTCAAGTTGCCTCCTTACTTGCTACTGCTGCTCCTTGTGCTTCGATTGCCGCAACTTGACCATAGAACAACCCATTGACTTGCGGTTTGTCAACCTTGGGTCTACGGGTATAAACTTGTATGGGCTGACCCATATGATTCACCACATTACCCGCCAGCTGAAGATTCACCTTGTTCTCAAGATGGAAGGACGGAAACCGATCAGCTATGGCCTGCCCTTCTTCCCATGTTGCTTCAAACCGTGGCAGTGCCTTCCACTTAATTAGAACCTCTGCTGTTTCGTGCCCCTTTGTGTTTCGGTTTCTGACTTCGAGGACTTCCTCCGGCTCGACCAGCAGCTCCAAATCTGCGGACAGTTGTTCAGGAATGGTAGGGTGTACTTGAGTGTCCCCCACTGCCAATTTCGATTGCGAGATGAGAAATACAGGATGGAGTTTGCACTCTGATGGCAATTTCGCGGTTGGAGCTTGAAGTACACCTCCTGTCTCACCTCGAAACTCTCGTCTCGCCACTTTTGATTGGCATGCATTTTCATAGTCTGTTGTGCCTTCAACAAATTCACTCTAATTTCATCCAACACCAAATCCCTTTCCTTCAACTTCTCTTCGAGGTTGTCCACCGGGGTTCGGTTGTTTCAATTTTGGTGTTTCGCGACCATAAACCAACTTGAACGGCGACACTTTAGTGGCGGAGTGAGGTGTCGTATTGTACGAATATTCGGCCCATGGCAGCCACTAAGCCCACTTCTTCGGGTGGTCAGCCGCAAAGCGGCGCAAGAAAGTCTCGACCACCTTGTTAACGATCTCTGTATGGCCGTCCGAGAATGGTACGCCGTACTTCCTTGCAACCGAAAAAGCTCCTTCCAGAATATACTCATGAAGACCCGATCTCGGTCAGAAACTATGGTAGCCGGAAAACCATGTAGCCTACCATTTCGCAAACAAAATACTTTCAAGGCATTGAATGGATGTTTGAGGCCGATGAAATGGTCGTATATGGAGAATCGATCCACCACTACCAAAATTGCATCCACCCCATTCGATTTCGGAAGTCCTATAAAATCCATGGACACATGTTCCCAAATTGCCGATGGAATGGGAAGCGGTTGTAGCAGGCCCAACGGTTGTTGTTGGACCACCTTGCTCCATTGACAAATCGCGCACCCCCTCACAAATTCTCCGATCTGCTTTCTCATCTCGGGCAAAACCAGGCCATGGCGATGCGTCAGTATGTTTTAACTTCCCCTCCATAGCCAGCGGTGGAAGTTCTATGATATTTATGGAGTAGCAGTGGTATGAATTGAGAAGATTGTGGAACAACAATTCTTCCCTTGTACACGAGTCTTTTTCCATCCAGACTAAATCCCCGTGGCCCTTCATTCTTGGACTCAAGGCCGAATATGATTTCCTTCTACCATGAATCAGTGTCTAACTCTTCTTCTAACTTGGCCCAATTGACCACATGTGTGTGGATTAAGGCAGTGAGTTGGGTTTCAACCCGATTCATCCTCGAAAGTGCATCGACGACCCAATTCGAAGCTCCGAGTTTGTATTGCACCTCAAAATCGAACCTGATTATTTTTCTCATCCATCATTGGTACTCTCCCCCTACTTCTCGTTGTTGTGTAATATACCGAAGGCTTTGTTCATCAGACCTCACCACAAAATGTCGCCCCATCAAGTAATGTTTCCATTTCTCGAATGCCATACATACCGCCACCAACTGCTTCTCATAAATCGACTTGCCTTGCCCCCTTACTCCGAGAAGTTTGCTAAAGCAAGCAATTGGGCAACCTCCTTGCATAAGTATGGCCCCTAAACCGTACCCGGAAGCATTGATTTCAAGTACGAATTGCTTTCCAAAATCCAGCATGGCCAACACGGGAGCCGTGGTCATGACGGTCTCAGAGGTGCTCAAATGCTTTGTTTGTTTCATCATTCCAACCGAAAGCATCCTTCTTTAATTGAGATGTTAGTGGACTTGCAATTTAAGCATAGTTGGATATAAATTTTCTATAATATCCAGTTAGCCCCAGAAAGCCACTTAACTCCTTAAGGTTCTTTGGGTTGGCCCATTCAAGGATAGCCTTCACCTTATCATCATCCATGGCTACTCCTTGTTTGGAAATTGTATGGCCCAAATAAGCCACCTTTCCTTGAAATTGGCATACAGTGAGTGCTTTGCTAGCACTTCTAACACCAAACGCAAGTGGTGCTTGAGCTTTTCCTCATTGGTGTTATAAACAAGGATATCATTGAAGAACACCAAAACGAATTTTCGTAGGAAAGGTCGAAAAATGCCATTCATTAGAGATTGAAACGTGGCCGGAGCGATGGTCAATCCAAAGGGCATTACAAGAAACTCGTAGTGACCCTCATGAGTTTGGAAAGCCGTTTTATGAGTGTCTTCGGCCTTTACCCGGATTTGATGATAACCTGACTTTAAGTCCAATTTTGTGAAGATTGTTGCTCCATGTAACTCATCAAGTAACTCGTCGATCACCGGGATTGGGTACTTGTCAGTACAATCAGTTTCCTTATTGAGAGCCCGGTAATCCACACAAAAACACCAACACCCATCTTTTTTCTTCACTAGTAACACCAGACTTGAAAATGGGCTAGTTGAAGGTTTAATGATACCGGCGTCAGATCAACTTCTCGATCTCATCCTTTTGAGCATGAGCATATTGGTATGGACGAACGCTAACGGGATCACTCCCATCCTTCAACACAATAGAGTGTTCGAGCCCCCTTGGTGGTGGAAGTACTTGGGGCATATTGAATACTCTTTGGTATTCTGCTAGCAGCTCATTGAGAAAAGTAGGCACTAGCCCCACTTCTTTAGGCACACTTTCAAATTCTTCAAGTTCCACTTGGTTAATTTCAACCAAAAGCCCACCCTTGTGCTTACTAATGGTACGGACCATTGCCTCGAGGGAAATATGAGTTTTCTCAAGGGTCGGATCCCCGTGAGGACCACGGTTACGCCGGCTACCGTGAATCGCATTTCATGGGTTTTCCAATTGGTGGAAACTATCCCCAATTTTTCTAACCACTGCAATCCGAGAATAAAATTGGCATTTCCCAAACCGAGGGGCAAAAAATCCTCGACCCTCGTGATGCCACCGGACAAATTAAGACAAGCCCCTTGACATACTCCTTTACTTCTTACGGTATCAACATTTCCCAGCGATACCCCAAATTCACCCCCTTTCGTCTACGGTAGCTTTGCCTCCTTTATTACCTTGGTAGAAATGAAATTGTGAGTTGCCCCAAGATCCACTATTACTATCACCTCACGCCCTTTCACTTTCCCCTTTAGTTTCATTGTTCTCGGGTTACATATGCCAACTACGGAACACAACAACACCTCCATCGGCGGTCCTTCATCTGCCCCGTCTTCCCACTCCTCCTCGGCTCCGTTGCCACCTTCGCCTTCTTCACATCCCACCGCTAATAATACACTCAACTCCTTCCTCTTACAACGATGCCCCACCCTTCACCTTTCATCACATCGGAAGCACAACCCTTTTGCTCGCCTTTCTTAGAGCTCCGCTTCGATGAGCAGTCGAGTCAAGGCCGACGACTTTGGGCAGCTCGATGAGCTGGCCGTGGTGTGTGGTATTGTTCAGGCCATGTTGATGGATCCTTGGGACTCAGTCCCTTGGTCCATGACCTTGCTGGGGCGTTTTGGTTGGCAGCCCGTAAGTTTGGACTAAGACCAGCCCACTGCCTCTGAAGTCGTTGTTACAAGTGTGGGTGGTTTGGGCCGCCCAACTCGATTCAGCCCCAAACCTCCTTTACGCCCAAAGCACACTCTATTCTTCTCAATCTTGCTGCCAACTCCATAGCTTTCTCCAAGGTTGTTGGATTCAACATCCTCAACTCCGACTTAAGGTCCTCTCTAGGCCATTAATGAACTAGCCTAGCATCAGATCTTCGAAGAGGCCCGTTAGCGGCGCGGCTAGTTCAATGTAGCGCCGCCAATACTCCTTCACCGTCCCTTCTTGCCCCAAAGCCAACCACTGCTCATACAATGATCCGGAGTGTGATGGTCGGAATTCATAGAGAAGCCGTCTTTTGAGATCCGGCCACCCCACTAAAGGGCGGCACTTTTGTTCCCACTAGTACCACTTAAGCGCCAGTCCATCCAGCGCTATCATCGCTACTTCCAGCTTCTCCCTTTCCACCAAGCAGTAAAATTTGGAGAACATCTCCGCCCTCAAGATCACTTGTCAGGATCCGTTCCTTTAAACACCGGAATATCCAACTTCCGGTGCTTCCATTAGCTTCCTCCGTCGTTGTCTCCGTCGCGCCATTCACCGCGCCTCCCCCCTCTGCCTTCACCTTCACCTTCACCTTCACACCAGCCACCACGTGGTCGCCACCCTGGCATGCCGAAGTTTACTTCTCTTTCCGGAATGGGTACTCTGTTTTTCCTCTGGACTTAGCTTCCATCCCCCTCCAGGTTAACCACCGGAGGCGATAAATGAGGTTGTTGAGGAGGTTGCTTGCCCGCCATCGTTTTTAACTCGTTGTTTAGTTTCTACACCTTTCCTTTGTCAATTGTCAATTGCGGCTTGAGTGTCCATGTCTACCTGGAAACAACCGCGCTGGTGGTGGCTGTGAGCGTCTCGTCGATCTTCCTCCGTTCCTCCTCCATGGCGGCCTTCACGGCCGATGCCACCACTCGACCCTTGAGAATTCAACTTTCGGCGGACATCTGGGTTGCCATCCCCACTATTTTTTCTTCTACCTCATCCACTCTATGAGTCAGAGTCATTTTTCTTTTTTGCTCGGAGTTTCGGAGCGGTGGTTTCCGGCACCAGGAACACTGCTCTGATACCAATTTGTTATAGACTGGCTATTGTAATAATTAATTTAAATGACTAGAGGCCATCAATCTCACAAGTAGCTTGAGGCTACAACACTCAATTTTTGGATAATTCTAATAGCTAAGTTTACTAACATACTTATACTCAAGACATCTAAGACTAAGGATAGGTTCATGTGATCAATTAGCTAAAATGGCAAAACCATAATAAAACATTGTAGAAGCTTGTTGCTTGCTTTCCTCAAGTTCTCTTAATGAGTTTTGTCATCTTGCCCTTTGTTGTTTGTTGACTCAAGTTGCCTCCTTATTAGCTACTGCTGCTCCTTGTGCTTCGATTGCCGCAACTTGACCATAGAACAACCCATTGACTTGTGGTTTGTCAACCTTGTGTCTACGGGTATAAACTTGTATGGGCTGACCCGTTTGATTCATCACACCACCGAACAAGACACTCTTCAGAAGTAGTTAGACACAAAAACAAGCTATATTAACATCTCATACAATAGTCAGAGATGTCAGACCATCAGAGTATGTATTGTTTATATATTATATACAAGCATACGGAGTACATCACAAGGAGATAGTATAGCAAGCAAGGGAAATAGAAGCCTATATTTGTTCAAAGATTACCTCAAGTAGTAAAAGCCCTACAACTCCAAGCACCAGCCCTGCAGCACCAACATACCCAATCGACTCACCAAAGAGAAAAGCTGCAAGTACAGCCACTGTAAGAGGCTGTGAGTCAATTATAACCTGCAGTCATGGATTTCAGTCATAAGCTCCAGCGTCCAGACTACTCAAATTATAGGAGACAAGAAGATTGACATTCCACAAAGTAACAAGTCTATGAATTTGCATGTAACATATCATAATTCTCTTCTATGTTGCAAAACTATGATTTTAATCACAGTGAATATAAATGTTGAGCTATGTGACCTGTTAAGTGCCAAGCTGGAATTTCTGGCATCACAGTTGCATTATCATGAAGTGGCATTAATTTGTAAGATAATGGCAGAAACATCACACTGAGTTTACACCTAGCCATATGCTTTTGCTGTGGAATTTCATAGCTGATTTATTAGCTAGTTTCCTAAACATACTAGGCCGTATGCCATAATTTTTAGTAAATTTACAATGTTGATTTTTATGAGACATCTTCAAAGTGTTGTTTTAAGATACTAATACATTATCTGTAGTGAAGGTTAACTAATATTCGGAGACTCGGAGATATTGTAGAAAGATTATACATAGATCTAAAGGTATCACTTATAGGCATTAGTAACACTAAAGAAGAAATTAGTGTGTGGCTTATATAAATAATTTATAAAATATTGAGCAGATTATTAAGGGAATTACTTAGTACAGCTTTTGCAATAGCAGTAGATAATTCAAATTGCCATTTTTTTTAATTAAAAAATTGTCATCATTTTTCACCTTACCTCCTACTTCATATCACGTCTTCAATGTTATTAACCAATGCCATAAAAGAAACACAAGACCAAGAAAAAAAGAATGCAAAGTTTACGTTTTGATACAGAGAAAGCAATAACTAACTAGAAAAGGTTTTTACTTATTTCTAATACTTTAAACACTTAGGACTCATAAGAGACAAGCCTCTCCAATGGAAATATTCAAATGATTTAAAAGGAAGCATAACGGATTTGTGAGCAGCAACTGAACAAAACATCTACAACTTTCCAATTCCCACATAAAATAATAATAAATAAATAAATAAATAAACCCCCAATTCCATAAAATAATAATAAATAAATAAATAAATAAAAACAAAAAATAAAAAAAAGCTAATACAACTTTCCAAGTGAAATTTAGGACTCCTCAGGCTGGAGCTAGCAAGTAAGATGACTGTACCTAATAGGATTAAAATAATATAAACATAATCACTGTAAAAAGTAGAAACCCTAGAGCAAGACATCAATTCAGCTTTAATATTAAATCATGGTGATCTGTGTGGTCTCCAAGAAAAAGAATGATGGATGGTTTCCAAAAAAAAAAGGAAGAGTTCTTAATATTCCAAATAGTCTCACGGTACTCAAAAAAAGGAGAACTGGCCATGGGTCATATGCAGTCTTTTGCTCTTATTCTACTTCCTCCGTTTCTTTTTAGTTGACACATTTCTTTAGTCATGTTTGCCAATGCACAAATTCAACCATTAATATCTTTAATTGCCGATAAGATAAAATTATGAAAAGTTGATAATTTGAAAATATATATCGTGACGAATCTAACAAAATCCCACATGACTATATTTTTCATTATGTATAAAGAGCAAAACACGGTCAAAGAGGAGTGTATGAATAATGCAAAAGTTAAAACGTGTCAACTAAAAAAAAAACGGAGGTAGTATTAAACAACCAGCCAAATAGAATTAAAATGGCCCATATAAGATACATTGCCTAGCAAAGCAATTACTACCCCCGTTAATTTTTAGTTGCAATAAAGGGGTATTATTTGTGAGATACTTCGAATAAAAATTTCTTTGTTGCAACTTAAAATTAACGAAGGTAGTATAAAGAATTAAAGCAAAGGATTTGTTGTACAGATAAAGAAGTCAGTCAAGCAGCTAAATATGAAGCATTAAAAAGTAAACATACACTGCCCAGACCTGCAGTTGTTCGCAACAAACCCTCTGCAAGGAATCCCTGTAACATGCCAGCAACAGATAATCATTATGCAAAGCCATTTACGTCAGTGTGTAAAATTTGATGCGGTTTGCATAAAATATACATTGAAATAAAGATATCTTAGTCTTTCCTTAGAAAATTATCCATAGACAAAGATTTTACATGGTGTAGATTGCGGATGGCAATCATCGAATCGATGACAGTAATTCACTTTTTTCCCTCACCCTGTTTGGTCAGCATGGGTAATATTGTAGTACTGTAGTAAGTTCATCCACAAACTGGCATTTCTACTGAAATGACTTCCAATTCTCATGTGTTTACCAGATAATCTACCTAGGATACTTCTATTTCAAACATGCCTGATTTACAGGGAAAAAGTTCAACTTCCCGTAAAATGAAACTACGCTCTTTTTTTTTTTTACAAAAAAAAAAAAAAAATTTACAGAACCATAAATTAAACAAATCCTGCTAGTTAAATTAATGCCTCTATTACCTAAGAGAAGTTTGATTGCCACTGACTTCCTACTGACCAAACAAACACTAAAACAAAAGCCTCTCCGGAAAAGTAGCACCCTCTAACAGGCATAGTAATTAGTGGTTTATTAAAGCCTACTAGTTATCCTTATTCATTTCTATAATCTAATTCTCAGTTTCTATTTAAAACTATAAACAAAATTATGGAAAACACATAAACTAGCTTCCAATTTATTGTTGTCCATCATCATAATCAACATGATTATTAAAGATAAGCACATTTTAAGTTACTTATAAAGGCAATACAGCTTTATCACAAGAGTTCTAAATCATAAACCAAAAAACTGAAAACTAGTAGTGAATGGAAACGGGGTAAATTCCAACCAACATGAAAACTTCATCACTAAACCAACTCAAATTTTCAAATTTCAACAATCACAAATTAGAGATACATGAAAAAACAATGAATGTACTTACTACTCAGTTACTACATACAAGTATAAGTGTATAACATTCTGTCCAAAAAAAAAAAACAAGTATAAGTGTATAACATAAGGGAAAACAATATTTCATAAGGGTAAACAATAACAAAAGCTGTTATTTACAACAAAATGAACTCCAAAATTAGAGAAAAAAAGGCAAGAAATCAAAAACCTGAAAACAAGTGGCATCAACGATAGCAAAGAGAGAGATTGATGCCCAAGCATTGAACCCAGAAGGCAAAGACCTACCCTTAGCCGCGGCAAACCCAACCAACAACAACCCCGCCGGAATAAGCCGAAACGAGGCAACAAAAAACGGACCCACTTTCGGCAAAACCTCTTTCATTGCCACCATTGCAGTACCCCAAAAGAAGAAGGGTGAAATCAACACTGCCCATTCCCACAAATTCCCAATTAACCCTAACCCTAACCCTAATTCTTCATCATTTCTCTCTGAATTCTCATTAACAACACATTCTACTTCAGTCCCTGTTCCTATACATTCAATTTCGGATTGCTGCGACTCTGATTGCTCTGAAACATCACCAGTTTTCGTCGATTTTGTTTGTCGGACAAATACCCGAAATCTAGAACGTTTTTTATCGGAATTTGTGAGATTTGGTGGGTTTTTGTTGGATGAAATTGGTCGAAGTTGAATTGGGTTGTGAGAATTTGGTCGAAAGTTGGGAAATTTTGATGGGTTAGAGAAGATGGCGTGGTAGTGGGTGGAGGAGAGTGGTGTTGTACACGCCATGATTCTCTCTCCTCCAGTAGCTGAACTTGAGTGGAAGAATCTGAGTTTAGTAAACTTTGAGAAGTTGTACTGTAATTTGCCATTGTACAAGAGATGAAGACAACAGAGATAATGTGTGATCAGCAAATGACCACGAAAGCAAATCGCACTCGAATATCTAACTAACATCCATAAATTAACATAGAATTACATACTTATCCTTTATAATAATGATTATTAAAATAATTAATTTTATCTCAATTTCACACTTTTACCGTACAAAAAAAATTTAACCTTTCTCTATAGTGGTCAACGGCCACCAACGATCATCGGACCAACCACCGTGATTTTCAAAATCAAACAAAATTTTTAAATTTTGTAAAACCAAATTTATTGGATCTTATGGACGACAACGAAATACCGGAAACACAACCTATGCTGCTCGCCGAAGGCTCGTCGGACCGTATGAACTCGGTGTGTCCTGATAAAATATTTTTAAAATTCGAAACCAAGACAAACGCCTAGGATTTTCGAAAACCCTAGGCTGAAACATCTAGATTTTTGGAACATCCTAGGAAGTTTCGAAAAAACTAGGCATTTCACCCTAGGATTTTCTAAAATCCTAGGCGTTTTCTTGGGTTTCGATTTTTTTTTTTATTGTTGTGGTTGTTCGTATTTTGTAAGCGTTTCATCTCAACCGCCTAGATCTTTCGTACAACCATATGGTTGTTCGAACGAACTAGGCGTTTGAGCCTAGGTTGTTCGAAAAAACAGGGCGTTTGAACCCGATTTCAGAAAATAAAAAAAAATAAAAAAAAAAAAAACAAACTTTGTCTCCGACGACCGCCTTCCCCTTGTCATATCCGAGGCTGTTTAGATCGAGAAACCGAAGGTTAAAGGAGGTGGTGGTTGGTGGTTAAAAGAGGAGGTGGTGGTGGTGGTGGTAAAAGGAGGTGGTGGTGGTGGTTTAGAGAGAGAAGAGGGAGTGAGGGTGGGTAAATTATGTTTGAGGGGGGTAAATTTTTTTAAATATAAGGGTAAATTTGTAGAATATATTTATTTTGCGGGCATTAGTTAGATATTCGAGGGCGACGTTTAGCTTTCCACTTTTTTTCTCTTACTTATACCATACTTTTACCGTAATAAAGTTGGAAATAATTTGGTAGAACTATTATAATTAATGAAATAAATAATCATTAATTAAGTGATTAATTTCTTAAATAATAATATTGTTAATATGGGATTCATTATGACATTTATTACTAAAGGCAACCATTGGGTGTATTAAAAATAGTCTAGGTCATAACATTTGGTCATTGGTGAGGTGGAATATAGAATAATAATAAATAATTTCATGACCAAGATATTTTGGTCATCTAATGGCCTTGCTTTTACATACTCATATACTTCCTCTGATTTTATTTGCACGCTCTTCAAGGACTTCGACTAATAGCTAGTGTGTTAGTTCATGTGTTATAACGGGTTGTTACTTTACTTTAATTATTTCTTGTAAAGTTGTGATATATGTATTTGATATTTATATTGTTTTTTTTATTCACCGTGTGATTTGCAATATATACTACCTCTTTTACACATTATCTGCAACTTTTGTTATTTTTACCCACTACATATTATATGCAACTTTTTAAAACTTTTCTTATAAGTTGTAAATAAGAAACTAGGTTGCTACTAATATGTCATTAACAAACTAACCAATTTACATTAATTTAATCATTTCCACCAAAATTAAATCATCCCCAACAACTTTATTTAATTCACCTAACATCTTTCATCAAAATATCGAATCACATTAGATCTTCAACTCCAAACCCTAGTTCTTGAACATTCATCTTTGGCCCTGTTCTTTTGAGCTTCTGGATAGAGCAAAATAGGGGTGAGCAGATTTTAGCAGAGCAAAGCTTCCAAAACTAGAACAGGACCCTTCCCTCATTCTCTCTCTCTCTCCTCAATTTTGACCTCATCCTCTCCGATCAATGGCCAATTCCCCAACCTCGATGGGTTGACCAGGCTTTTTAACCAAGTTTTAGTGACCTTTCCTTTCCTAAATCCCAACTTTATCCTTTTTATAGGACTTACTTATATGGCGGTTGAGCAAAAGACACATTTGAGTATGAATTTTAATGTGACAGAAACAAACCACTTGAAGAAAGACACTCGATTGGCCCGAATTTCCCAAATTCCCACCACCGGCCGTAGTGATTTTTTTATAATATAACTCTAGATTTTGTAACATGTGATGATTTTGTAATTCCGATGAAATTTTTTACCACATAATTTAGTTTTATGCTAATATGTGTACCAACCACCTATAACTATAATTGGTGATGTGCTATCACTCCACTTAAAGGTTGAATGAGTATATAGTGGTGATGTACTATTGTACTAATGTGCATCATCACACCGCGTAATTTTCAATTTTTTACTTATGCTTATGTTATATTACAAAGTAGCGTTGTAATTGATGAGTTAGGGTTTTTTTTTAATTAATTATTTTTAATTTGACATCATTAGTAGCATTCTAGATGGAGTAGCATATTTTACATACATATACTTTCTTTAATTTATCTAAACTTCTTAGTAAGGAACTAGTAGATTTACCTATACTTTTATCGTAAATTCTCCAAAAAAAAAAAGTGGGTATACATTGTAAGACGGGTTAAAGATATTTACAGTTACCTTTTATATTACAAAAGTAATTATTTTTCTAACAATAAATTTTATTTTACGAAAAACTTGTAATGTATTAGATTAATCATATTAGCCTTTATAGTATATAATCATAAATATATATATATAAAAAATTAAACATAAATTCAACCCAATGACAAATTAAAAGTTACCCTTTAACGGGTTAAGTTATAATTATCATAAAAATAAATAAAATTACTCTCAAATTGACCGTCTTACAATAAATTTAACGTATACCCGCTTTACACAAGAATTATTGTAATTTTATTTATATTACATGCTAGCAATTTCAATGAGTTTGATTAGGTTAGTACTTAGTTGGTAGTGTGATACACGTAAAATAATAATAAAAATAATAATAATAATAATAATAATTACGAGTAACACACAACTTATGGGCGGGGAAACCATCAAAATCTCTTTCAACATATAAAGAAGTAGTACATAAAACCAAATGAAACGACATTCTACATCCATTATCAACCATTCATCAACCTCAATCCTAGTAGAAGAAACTAATTTTAATGATGATACATCTTTAATTCTTCACTTGTTCTCGTGACTTAATCTTGATCTTTGAATTCGTTGCCGGTAGCCAGGTACCATAATATTGTTCTCTATCTTGACGTACCGTACCACTAGTACATTGCCTGTTTAACAACCAAGTAATTGACGAGTCATTATTATTATTGACCTCTCTTAACTCTTTACAATTTCTTAAGCTTGTTTCTTTTAACTTGTTTTGCTTTCTTCGGCTTGTAGGTTGTGAAGGGAGATCTTCAAACTAATTAAACATATCTTCTTTCTTCCATTTTCAAAGTTCTTGTACCCTTGTTGCAACTTACGTTTTGTATTTTTCAACTTCTTGCAATATAACGAGTCTTTCAAGGAAGGTTTTTGTGGTGATGACAAAGGTTGTTTGAGATTTTGATGTGGAGATTTCAACTCTTTGGCTTTCACTTGGGTTGCCGGTAATGAGATCGACAATGAAGATTTCGGCCATAGTAATATCATTTCAAGAAAGTTATCGGACATTTTATCCTTTTGTAAAATATTAATGAGATATATTATTGCTTGACATGTATGGATGAATTTGGCTAATATTTATAGGTTACAAAAGGTAACCTAAACTGTATATAACTGTACATTTGACTTTCCTAATATAAACCTACAAAAGATAAATCAATTTACCATGAATAATAAATCTAATCCTAAACATAATAAACCTATCTAGGGTTATTATTAAAAAGAAATAATAACATTGATAGTATTTTTTTTTGAACACCAATAAAATTGATAGTATAGCAAGGGTGTAATTTGATTTTTTTTTTTTTTTGACAAAAGCAAATGGAAAGCAAAAATACTAGTACTAAGTCGTTAAATTAACCCGGCATTGTCTTGCAATGTCATTAGCTCTTTGAACTTGCTCTTTAGGAACTTTTAAAATAGTGCATCTCTGGAACTCCGCCCCTATCTTCCTTAACTCCTTGATAATCTAAGTAATCGAGACCTCTTTCCCTTTTGTATCCTAGATTATTAAAAAATGAAGCTGAGTCCGAAAAGATTAGGATTCCCTGTCTCCCCTTAGCACAAGCCCATTTCATTGCTTCCAGACAAGCCCATGCTTCACAATGGATGACTGACGCTACTACCCCATGTTTGCCGCCCTCTTCAAGGGCATAGCCTTTGTTATTTACCTTAACCGCCCATCATATCCCTGCCCTTGTAGTATTCTTATCCCAAGAACCATCTGCCTCCATAACAAAATCATCAAAACCCCCCTTTTCTTTCCCTAATTGGACATGATTGAACCCCGGTGGAAGGTTTGAATAGGGTGTAATTTGATAACGTGTATATATATTGCATTTAAGCGGCAAATTAAAAAATCATTAATGTCTAACTAATGAGATCAATAAGGAAAATATCTACCTTTTTTTTTGAACAAGAAAATATCTACCCTTTACTATCGAAATAATTCAAATAAATTGTAAATATAAGATAACTAGCTTTCTGGCCCGTGCAATGCATGGGTTATTCATATAAAATTGCATTGAGAGATGAGTGAGGAAATATCAATAAGTCATTATAGGGTATAATATGTAATCGGAAACATGATTAAAGAAATTAAAATTTTGGAACTTTAATTGAAAAAGAGCTTAAATAGAGGGGGGGGGGGACTAAAATTGAAGAGAGAATAGGAAAAGGTTGAATTGAAGAGGAGAGATGAAGATGAAGGGATGAAATGTACATGGAAGATGAAATATAAGTTTAATGAAAGAATTAAAGAAAGATGGTGTAATAAAAAATTAATAATGTAAGAAGACATATGGAACTTTAGTTAGAGAAGTGTAATAAGATGGGGACATGTGTTTTTCTTGGTTAGAGTTTTTAAATACTAAGTATAGATA